CTTCAGATTCTTTTCATTGCTGCTGTTTCAGTGTTCCCTTTCTTCTTTATAACTCAAGTAAATAATGTTTATACTGGGAGGTGCTTTCTGTCACCCCTGGACCAAGTTAGTAACTACTTACTGTGCACTGCAACACTTTGTACTTTTCTCTCATTTTATATTAGAGATTATTTCTATTGCACTGTATCATTTACATGTCTCTTTCCACCACTAAATGGTAAAGTCTTAATCATTTTTTAGTCCTACATCTCTGCCTGAGGACCATGTCTAATGTGATACAGGCCTTAGTAAATATTTGTTACGTGAATAAATGGAAATGCATATTACAGTCAGGCAACTGAGACAAATTCTTAACCTATTCTTTGGTAATATGAGTTAGTGTCCAATCCAGAACTTAAATCTATCTTCTTAGATTTTCTGCTTGTGCTAAAATTAGACTTGGTGGACCCTCAGCAGCCAGTGACTCTGTTATGGTAAAACACAGTCTAAAGCCCCTCAACTTTCTTTACCAGCTATAGGAGTCAGCTGTTGGAGCCCTGGCCCATTGTTTTCCTTTGCTCTAATCCTAACTTTACTTTCGTCCCTTATGAATGAAACCTGACTGTGATCTGTTCATATGTATAGGAACTTACATAGAGCTTATATTTATATTTAAATATAACATTACTTACATAGAAGTATATGGATGTTTATTTTAAGTATATTATTTTTCCTCTTGTGTAGAAAGGATGGTGCTTTGTTAACTCTAGAGACTATACAAGGGTAATATAATAATAGCAGCTAACACATAACATTTTACTATGTGCCAGGAATGAAGTGTTTTTATGTGCATTAGCTCATTTAATCCTAATTGTAACTTCACGAAGTAGTTCTTATGTTTGGTATGATAATTTAACAGATGAGGAACCTGAAGCAGACAGAAATAACTTGTTCCAAGAACACAAAACTGCTTAACTGTTAGACCTGGGATTTGAATTCAGGAAGTCTTATTTCATACTCTGTGCTCTTAACTGTATACTGTGCTGGGTAGGGATATAAAACTGCTTTTTCTCGTATCTTTTACCATGTAGTATTCTACATGTAGGGGGACATGACAATAAGTGATAGGGACTAATAGTATTCACTTTTGCTATGTAAAACTCTTGATGAAAATATGCTGGGAAAATAACCTTTTACTTAATGTCTCCTTTTAGGGGTAATATTTGGTGTGCTGATTTATAGTTTCTGCAGATTTAAACTGCCTGTAATTTCTTCGTGGCATTCACTCCTTACTCAACTCAGATCCCAGAATTACCTTCCTTCTTTTCCTCAGGCTTACTTGATAGCTATGGAGCATTGCCCGTGCCATAGCTTTCAGGCTGTGCTCTTGTGGCTTGTGAAACACTTGTTTATGGGCACAGAGTGATCTGGAGTTAAATAGAAACATCCTTCTCCATGGGACAACAATTTACTCTACATGCCAACTTGGCAGCAGGGTAGACCATTGGGGGGCTGTGGTTAAGATAGGTAGCCAAGATATGAAGGAGGTTTCTAATCCAGACTCATGCTAATAAACAGAGTGGTAACCAAAACACTTTAATGAGATCTTTGTGTTTTGCATGTAGTTTAGTTAAGAGTAACCAACTCAAGTTGACCAATTGGCCACATTCCTCATAAAAAATTATTGGAGAGCTAGACTAGTATCGGTTTACACTGTATACATTAAAATGAAGCTATATTTAGGTAGATGGTATCAAGCATTGAAAATGTTCCGTGAACCAAGTAGTTTCTTGACCCTGGCCATGAACTCTATTTCAGACACATCTAAATTGGTAGGTAGAAAGCATTTAGGTGGTTCTGTGACTGAATATGTGACCTTAAATGAGAATCATTTAGCTTTTCCAAGGCTGAGTTTCTTCATTTGTAACATGAAAAGTCCTAATGCTTATTGCTCCAGCTTCCACATTCTTTTCTTCCTTTACTACTTTATTATAATAGACTTTTTCCAAGTAATCTCTTTGATCAAGTCTGTTAAGATGTCTCATTCCATTACTTAGCGTGTCTCAGCTCTTATTTGCAGAATTTGTAAGAAGGCAATTTCAACAGAACTTTCTTACTTATATATAAGTGTCAGAGTTACTCAGCTATGTAACTCTGAAAGACTGATCTGAAAGAAAATCATACCTGAGATTTTTATCCCAATTAGTAGGCCACATTTATTGTTCCTCAAAATTAGAATTATCAGCGAGTAACAAAGTAGAGATTTGGAGATTGGAACTATACAACTTCTGTTTGAATATGACTCATGAGCTTTGAGAAAAATGCAGATTTCATTTTCTGAGCCCTTTCTTCATCTTCTTTCTTCTCAACCTAAAAAAAAAAATGGCTTGATGACAAGAGCTCAGACATGTATAACCATGTGTAGTGCAAAAGTTGCCATGTTGTAAGACAGCCTAATAAGTTTTCTTCATTTAGGTGAATAAAAGCATGGGGAATAGAGAAGATTGAGGGAAACAAGGGAAGGGCTTGTTAGAATCCAAAATGAACACATTTTTGAAACTTAAGTACTGTAGGCAATATGATACTTGTTCTTAATTGAAGGAAGATGTTCTCTGGTCCCAACTTGTAAACATTTGCAGTCTTGAAGTAATATGCCAGTTTACTGAGAACAAAATCTTAATCAGTATGACACTCCATGGAAAATTCTTTTCTTCTGCTCTCTCCTGGCTGTCTCTCTTGAAAGCGTACAGATCTGTGTCCAGAGGCTGCCTGACCACTAAGTACATAATCAGATATAGTTCTCACCATTTGAGTGCCAAACTGTCTCTGCCAATAGGGTTATGAGTCTCTCACACACAGGGCAGACAGTTGCTAGGGTCACCTGTCATGTTGGAGCAGACTGCTGTGATGATTCCCACTTAAACAGTAGTTATATTATATCATGATTGGAATGGAGAGACAGGTACTTGGAAGGATTGATTCAAGCTCTGGATCAGTCAATCTTAACTACTAATATGTTAAAGCCTTCCTGTAGTAAAGATCTTGGAGATTGCCAAATTTACTGAGTTCTTTATCATCTTTAATTTATTTGTACTACTGGCCCTCCGTATCCACGGGTTCTGCATCCATAGGTTCAACCAACTGCAGATTGAAAATATTTAGGAAAAATAAAAAGTAAAAATTTAATATTGATAAAAATAATACACACAATACGGTATAATAACTATGTAGTATTTATAGTGTATTGGGCATTTTAAGTAATCTAGAGATGATTTAAAGTATTGGGAAGGATGCGCGTAGGTTATATGCAAATACTATACCATTTTATTTAAGGAACTTGACCCTCAGTGGATTTTGGTATCTGCAGGGGGTCTTGCAATCAGTTTCCCATGGATACTGAGGGACAGCTGTGTAGTTTCTTGGCGTATGATTCCTTGGCCGCCTAGTTGGGGCAAGGGGACTTTGAGCTTAGAAACGCTGGGTTTCACAGGGACCTCATCAATCAGTATTTCTATCCCAGTTTCAGTCCTTAGCCAGAATACCTTCAGTAAAATGCTTCATGTGAGAACCATGATTAGTTCTTTCAGGGTTTTGCTATTTGAGCCAGAGATTGGTTAAAAAGTTTCTATTTAATCTAGTTGTCTTTTAAAAAGTTGTATGATAAATTTATTGATCACTTCTTATCTGTCAAAGAAGGGATCAGTTACAGCTGTGATTTTCAGTCACTAGTAAGGATTGAGGATATGGCAGACTGTCTAGGTTCTGATTCCCTATTCTACGGCAACTTTATTAGTTTCCTGTGGCTTCTGTAACAAATTAACACAAACTTGGTAGCCTAAAACAAAATTATTCAGTTATTCTCTCACAGTTCTGGAGGCTAGAAGTTTAAAATCAAGGTGTCATCAGGCCACACTCCCTCTGGTATATACACATTGTATGTGTATACTGTATTTCACTTATCCATTGACCCATCAATGGGCTCTTCCACTGCTTCCACATTGAAGCTATTGTGAATAAGGCTGCTGTGAACATGGGTATACGCATACCTCTTTGAGACCCTGCTTTCAATTATTATTATTTCTTTTCTTTTCTTTCTTTTTTTTTTTTAAACAGAGTGACATTCTGTCACCCAGGCTGGAGTGCAGTAGCACAGTCTCCATTGACTGGAAACTCCACCTCCCAGCTTCAAGGAATTCTTGTGCCTCAGCCTCCCGAGTAGTTGGGATTGCAGGCATGCGCCACCATGCCCAGCTAATTTTTTGTATTTTGGTAGAGACTGGGTTTCACCATGTTGCTCAGGCTGGTCTTGAACTCCTGAGCTCAGGCGATCCAGCCACCTCAGCCTCCCAAAGTGCTATGATTACAGGTGTGAGCCACTGTGCTCAGCCTCAGTTATTTTGAGTATATACCCAGAATTCTTCTGAACTTAAAATTCTATTTTTAACTTTTGGAGGAACTTCCATACTGTTTTCCATAGAGGTTATATTATTTTACATTGCCCTGAGCAGTGCACAAGGGTTTTAATTTCTCTACATTCTTGCCAACACTTTTGAAAAATGTCCTTGCCTGCTAATATTTCATTTTTATATTTTATTATTTATTTTTAGAAATGGGGTTGGGCGTTTTGCCCAGGCTTGAGTGCAGCAGTGTTATCATAGCTGACTGCAGCCTCAATCTCCTGGGCTCAAGCGATCCTCCCACCTCAGCCTCCCAAGCAACTGGGACTACAGGCCTATTTTGTTTTTTTGATAATAGCCATCCTAATAAGAATGAGGTGGTATCTCATTGTAGATTTGATTTGCATTTCTCTAATGATTAGTGACATTCAGCATTTTTTCATATGCTTATTGGTCATTTTGCATATCTTTGGAGACATGGCCATTCCTTTTTGCCCACTTTTCAATCAGGTTGTTTTTTGTTGTTGAGTTTTAGGAGTTCTTGATATACCCTGGATATTAATCCCTCAACACATATATAATTTGAAATTTAAAAATTTATTATGTACATTTATTTTTGCTTATAAAAGTATGGAATGCTTCATGAATTTACTTGTCATTCTTATGTAGGGGCCATGCTAATCTCTGTATTGTTCCAATTTTAGTATATGTACTGCTGAAGTGAGCACTGATTTGCTAATATTTTCTCCCACTCTGTGGACTGCCTTTTTACTCTTTTGGTGGTGGTTTTTGATATACTCCCTCAATAATTTTGTCAGCATGATTTGCTGAAATCAAGGAGAGAGTGGGCTGAAAAATCCAAACAAGTAGGTGTTAGGCTGCACTAAGCCCAGCTTCTAGTCTAACATATGCCCAGACAATTGGAGCTGGGTTTTATGGGGAAGAGAGTTGCTCTGAGGCCAAGGCAGGTAGTATTAGCGGTATTCTAAGACACAACAGCAAGGTCAGCTCTGAAAGCTGGCACTTGCTGGTGGCGACAGTTGTAGGCTATTTTGGGAACCGAGGAGGCTTTGTTTTGTAAGGCCTTCTCTGCACTCCCAGATTTAACCCTGGCACTGATTGATCATCAGCCATTTTTGCCTTTGATATGGAGAGAGCAATATCAGGTATAGTCGTGAGATCACAGTGCTCTTTCCCGAGATTATTGGTAAAATCAAGTATTTTTCCTTGGAGATTGTCATTGCCAGACAAATGTGACATGCTGATGTTAGGAAGCTTTAATTTGTTACCTGGCAGTTTTTCTAAATAGTTCCTTCAGACTAGTAATTAAGTCATATCTCTATTTCTTAAGGAGCTTAGAACACGTTGTTACTTAAGTAAAATTTTAGGTGTCTTCAGGAATGCAAAATAGGAGGAAATGGACTTAAACTGCATCAGAAGGAATCTGGGCCAAATGCAAAGAATTTCCCCATTATCTTGGGTAACATCAAAAGCTTGTTTAGCCTGCTTCCCAAGAAAAGGAAAGACCTATCTCTCTGTAAGGTTTAGCATAGCTCCGTGTAGAGGCATGGTGTTGAAGTTCATGTCCCTGGACACAGTTTTATAAGTGGGCGAATCTGCTCATCTACCATGCTTCAGTCGTGAATGAGTCAGCAGCACAGCTGCAGATGGAGTGGGCAGAAGGGCATCTAAATTTAGTCATTATTCACTTGAGAAGGTTTTCAGGAACTGTGCGTCTCTCATCCATGCTTTAGTCATATTCCTTCTTCTAGAGGCAAAAAAAGAAAAAAAAAAAAGAAAGAGAGCAAGAGAACAGTCACTCCAAGATGCTTCATGAGAGTGAGCGTCCTACAACTCTGTTAATTGGTCTCATCTACAACGATGATGCTTTTCCACCTTAACCAGGTGCAACTATTTTATTCATATAGCTCCTGAACTTAAGAACCCATGGGATTCTGAACATTAGACAGGGACTTTTCTGCAGTTAGACTTACAAACAACCTCCAGAATCTTGCTAGTTCAACGACATTTTTAACCAAACAGCTTTCCTCCTGTAAGGTACTGAGGGTGGGGAGGGCTGTGATCAGTGAGAAATAAGCACTTTTTGTGTTTTTTTTCCCCTTGAGGTAGTTGCTGTATGTTATACTGTTGCCTTAACAACAACAAAGTCAGAAACTATTCCAAGGGCTTACCTCCTTTAATCTTTACAAAACCTTACTAAGTAGGTGGTATTCTCAATGCTATAGATTAGTACATACACTTAAAAGTTAGGTTAAATACCCCACTGAAGGTTGTACATGTCCACAGAGCAGGTATGCAGGCCCTGGTCTGTCTGACTCCAAAGCTGGTGCTTTTATTTATTTTACAAATAGAAATGGGGTCTCACTATGTTGCATAGACTTCTCCCACCTCAGCCTCCCAAAGTGCTGGAACCACAGGTATGAGCCACAATGCCTGGCCAAAACTGGTGTTTTTAATAATATCGTTCTTCACTTTGTGGAGGGTATGGGGAATGATTTAAACAGTTGGCCTCCTTTATTTTCTCCAAGATGGTTCTTCACGGATTGATGATCACCAAATTACATTTTAGATTAGGCTAGTTTTGTTGTTGTTCTCGCAAACTTTTTTAGAATGTCATTCTCATAAAAGTTTTGTATCAAACTGGCTGTAGTGGCGTGTGTGTACCTGTAGTCCCAGCTACTTGGAAGGCTGAGGCAAGAGGCTTTTTGAGCCCAAGAGTTCAAGACAAGCCCCGGCAACATAGCAAGACCCAGTTAAAAAAATTTTTTTTGTATCAGGGATTTGAGATTTATAGACACAATATCACAAAATTTAAAAGAAGAGAACTGAAGTAGTGATGGGGTAGAGGAGATTAAGAAAGAGGAGAAGTAAGAGGGGAGGAAAGAGAAAAGGTAATTTTTCTCCCATTTGATACCTGGACTAGCTGGGCTTATTTTAGAGCCTCTGGATGTGGCTGAGGTCGTCTTTAAAGACCAAAGAATGATCTTAAAAACATTAGCTTCTAAAAGTCTGCTTGATAGTGGTGTGGACATTAGAGCTAAGCATTTAGATTGTTCTTTCTGAGCCAAAGAAATTTTGCAACCCAGCAAGAAGCAGTTGACCAGGTGTCCTGGCCTAAACAGGTTTAGACAGCACATTTGACCTTCTTGATATAGGAGTTATTATTAAGGGCAAAGAGTGTTTTTAGTACAACCTTTAAAATACCTTTTTCTTCTTGGACTTCAGTACCTTTTTGAAAGTGTCCCCTTCCATCCTTTTACTTAAAAATGTTTACAAAAAAGAAAAATAAAATAAAAATGTTTATTTACAGTTTTTATTGAGATACTCTGTAATGAGTTGGCTAGACCTTGCCATATGGGATTGCAAATGCACAGACATACAATATATGACAATTTATTGATAAACATACTTATGAACTATGTGTAAATATGAATAATTATGAAACATTTTACATGGTAAAGAGTGGGGTATGCTTGTGGAAGTTGATAAATCTAAGAAAACATCATAGAAGAAATCTGGAGCTGCTGTTGAAAATGAGACCATCGTGAGTATTGGCTATAACAGTCAGATAGGCCAGAAGGTCAGATTGGAGAAATATATAGCATCAAATCAAACATAGATTGATATTTTTAGCTAATCTCAGTAACTGTAAAAAGAGTATCAATTATTTTGGGAAAAATTAATAAAGATGCTTTTTTGTAACCAAGTTACCTAATTAAATTTTCATCTAAATGAAGTCAGCCTTTTTAAATTCATCCCTTTCTAGGCAGGATTGATAGGAGGTTTATCTCTGATCTCTGAAGGGAGTTCCTGTAAGTTCCCTTGGTATGATACGTGCTACTTAAGTCCTGTAGTTACAAGGGTCCTCTAGAGTTCTAACTTTGATTCTTTCCATAGTAACCTTTTGCTGTTTAAATAGTTGTTCATTATCACCATGAAATATCTTTTGCTATGTTTGATTGAAGACAGTGGTTATTAAACTGATCTCAGGATTCCTTTATACCTAAAAATTCATGCAGGCATAAAAAAGGATGAGTTCGTGTCCTTTGTAGGGACATGGATGAATCTGAAAACCATCATTCTCAGCAAACTGACACAAGAACAGAAAATCAAACACTGCATGTTCTCATTCATAGGTGGGTGTTGAACAATGAGAACACATGGGCACAGGGAGGGGAGCATTGCACACTGGGGTCTGTTGTGCGGGAATAGGGGACAGTAGTGGGTAGGAAGGTTGGGGAGGGATAACATGGGGAGAAATACCAGATATAGATGATGGGGGACTGGAGGCAGCAAACCACATTGCCATGTATGTACCTATGCAGCAATCCTGCATGTTCTGCATGTGTATCTTAGAACCTAAAATGCAATAAAATATGTATATTTTTTAAAAATATTCATTAAGGACTCCCAAAATTTGACAGGACTTTGTTTGTATTGGTTATCATATGTTACTGAGAAATTTTTAAAATATGTAGTTATTAAATATATACTTATTAAGTAATCTAAAGCAACAATGACCCTGATTACATGTTAATATAAATTACATATTTTGATTTAAAATGATATTGTTTTACATTTTTATAAATTTTTTTAATATCTATATTCTTTTAATGTCTATATTGTGATATATTATCTTGATGAAAGTACATAAAATCTGGCCTCTCAAAGGTATATATTTGGAAAAGGGAGGAGCATTTGAATAGTCTGTTCAGACAATTATAGTTGTTTTTCTTGGATATTATGCCAAATTCCAACAAGTGATGGTTTGTTTGTTTCTTTTTTTGAGACAGAGTTTCTGTGGCCCAGGCTAGAGTGCAATGGCACCATCCTGACTCACGGCAACCTCTACCTCTTGGGTTCAAGCGATTCTTGTGCCTCAGTCTCCTGAGTAGTTAGGATTTTAGGTGTGCACTACCATACCTGTCTAGTTTTTGTATTTTTAATAGAGACAGTGTTTCACCATGTTGGCCAGGCTGGTCTCAAACTCCTGACCTCAGGTGATCCACCCACCTCGGCCTCCCAAAGAGTTGGGATTATAGGCGTGAGCCACTGTACCCGACCTGACAGTTTCTTTTTTTTTTAGGGAGGGAAGGAGGAAGGGAGGAAGGCAGGAAGGGAGGGAAGGAGGAAGGGAGGGAGGAAGGAAGGGATGAAGGAAGGAAGGGAGGAAGTGGGGGAGGGAGGGAAGGAGGGAGGGAGGGAGGGAAGGGAAGGGAAGGGAAGGGAAGGGAAGGGAAGGGAAGGGAAGGGAAGGGAAGGGAAGGAAGGAATTCAAACAATGAGAGAGACATTGCCGACCTGGATCTAGAGGTTTACAAGTTGATTTCTTTTTTTGAGAGAAGGAAAGAAAAAAAAATGAGTAAAGGAGAGAAAGAAAGAGAAGAGAGAGAGGGAGGGTGAATGGAAATATTGCTTTATTCTGAAAAAAAAATGGGTATTAATAATGGCCAATCAATGTTTCATTTAAACCTATGAGTAGGTGTGATGTGGTATTGACAAGAATGTATATTTTATGTATTTGAAGTGGAGAGCTCTATAAATATTATTAAGTTTACTTGTTCTGGATCTGAGTTCGAGTCCTTGATATTCTTATTAATTTTCTGTCTCATTGAATCTAAGTCTCTATGTATCTGGGTGTTAGGATCGTTAGCTCTTGTTGTTGTATTGATCCTTTTACCACTATATCTTTGTTGCTTTAAAATCTATTTTATCCACTACGAGAATTGCAACTCCTGCTTTTTATTTATTTATTTATTTTTGCTCTCCATTTGGTTGGTAAATCTTTCAACATTCCTTTGTTTTGAGTCTTTGTGTATCCTTGCATGTGAAACAGGTCTGGATGTAACAGGCCGTTGGGTTTTGGCTGTGTCTTTTGATTGGGGGATTTAGTCGATTTAAATTTAGGGTTACTGCCATTTGATGTTAACTGGCTGTTTGATCCATTCGTTGATGAAAATTCTTCTTTATGTTGGTGCTCTTTACTTTTTGGTATATTTTTAGTAAGGCTAATACTGGTTGTTTCTTTCTGTGTGTAATGCCTCTATCAGAAGCTCTTGTAAAGCAGGCCTGGTGGTAATAAAATCTCTGAGTTCTTGCTTGTTCATAAAAGATTTTATTTTTCCTTCAGTTGTGAAGCTTAGTTTGGCTGGATATGAAATTCTGGGCTGAAAGTTCTGTTCTTTGAGGATGTTGAATATTGGCCCCCACTCTATTCTGGCCTGTAGAGTTTCTGCCGAGAGATCTGCTGTAAGTCTGATAGGCTTGCCTTTGTGGGTAACCTGACCTTTCTCTCTGGCTGCCTTTAGTATTTTCTCCTTCGTTTCAACCCTGGTGAATCTAACGATTATGTGCCTTGGGGTTGCTCTTCTTGAGGAATATCTTTGTGGTGTTCTCTGTATTACCTGGGGTTGAATACTGACCTGCTTTGCTACTTCAGGAAAATTTTCCTGAATAATATCCTGAAGGGTATTCTCCAGCTTGGATTCATTCTTTTGGTTGCATTCAGGTACACCTATCAAACGTAAATTTGGTTTTTTCACATAGTCCCACATTTCTTAGAGACTTTGCTCATTCCTTTTTATCCTTTTATCTCTAATCTTGTCTTCTTGTTTTCTTTCATTAAGTTGGACTTTGACCTCTGTTATCCTTTCTTCTGCTTGAACAATTCGAGTGTTTAAACCTGTGCATACTTCTCGGAGTTCCTGTATTGTATTCTTCAGTTCCATTAATTCACTTATATTCCTCTCTAAGTTGTCTGTTCTCAATAGGATTTCATCAAACCTTTTTTCAAAGCTCCTAGTTTCTTTATGTTGGGCTACAACATGGTCTTTTAACTCACTGAAGTTTGTTATTATCCATTCCTTGAAGAGTGATTCTGTCATTGGGATGCGCTCGTTCTCCGTCAAGCCTTGTTCCATTGTTGATGTGGAACTGTGATCATCTTTAGAGGGAGAGGCATTCAGATTTTGAGTATTCTCAGCCTTTTTACGCTGGTTTCTTCCCATCGTTGTAAATTTATCCTCCTGTCGTCTTTGAAATTACCAACTTTCAGATTAGGTCTCTTGATTGGACATCCAAGTTGTTAGTTCCCAGGGCCAGAACGGCAGCGTTAAGACTGATGGTGCTTTTCTGCCCAGGATTCTCCTGTCTGGCTTCCTTCTTGTGTCGGTAAATGGGCGACTCTCAGTTTCTTAAATGTAAGTTTTAGAAATAGTAGTTTAAGAAATTAGTTTCTTAAATTTTCCTGCAGTGTGGAAACTGAAACCATGTCAGTGGACTTTTTTTTAACTCTGTTACATTGAAACCCATTGGTCTAACTTGTACTTTGAATCTTTTACTTCACGTGTGATTTTCTAACACTGTGTATTTGTTTATTTGGAAAATAAAGGTTCATTGACTTATACAAATGTAAATGCATTTCATTATATAATATCAACTAATCGGATTTGTTGGTAGTCAAACAGATCTTATCAGAAAAGTGAATACTGGGAGGTTGTCGACCTCATGGTGGTAGCTGTTTCCCAGAATTCTTATTTTCACTTGGATGGTCAAATTTTATTGCAACACATACTGATTATTTTCTCTGGAGTGACAGGCTTAATTTGTTCATTTTCAAGTCTGAATAATCATAATTTGTTGGTTATTCTTTTGAATAAAAAGTGTTATTTTGATTTCAAAAAGTGTCTTTCATCTTGTAACTGAAGCAGACGCACAAATGATGTGTTTTTATTTTTGTTTTTGTTTTTGAGACGGGGTCTTGCTCTTTCACCCAGCCTCGACCTCCTAGGCTTAAGCCATCCTTCTACCTTATCCTCCCAAGTAGGTGGGCCTGCAGGTGTGTGCCACCATGCCTGGCTAATTTTTAAATTTTTTGTAGAGATGGGGTCTATGTTGCTCAGGCAGGTGTTGAACTCCTGGGCTCAAACAGTCCTACTGCCTCAGCCTCTCAAAGTGTTGGAATTACAGGCATGAGTTACCACGCCTGGCCTGAGGTGGTTTTTCCTAGAATCAACCATCATACTTCAAAATGCAGCAGAAGCGCTTTAGATATACTTTCCATTTTCTCACACAGAGTATTAAAAAAATAATTTCAACTGCATCTTCAAAGTTATTCTCAGTGAAACTGGCTTTTTTTTTTTTAACTGTGAGTGTGTGGTAAGGAAGAATACAGTACCTGCTGGTATTTTTTGATGAGATTGTCTTGCTTTGTGGTAAGACACCAGCAGTTTTACTCACCATTGCTTTTGCATCTTTATTGTAAATGTCAACACAATAAAAATGCAAGAAATATCTTAATATTATTATGAAAACTTTTTGATTTGGATAATTCTTCCTTAGCTAAAGTTTTAGCCTTGTTTTTTAAAGGAGGGGTTATCTTAAAGCACTCCTTGTCAAGAATCATGAAAAAAATAAAAAAGGAGGCGATTAAAAGGCAAGTTTTGAAAAAGGAGTCTCATTTGTTTCTTGGTCCTGAATTATCCCAATGGTTTTGTAACCATCCACGCCTTGATAATGATTACCATTTTCACATTGGGCCTTCTACGACATTTTCATTCTGCAGCTATGTCAAGACAACCTTTTGGTTTTTTTAGATCTCATTGCTGTTCGAGACTATTTCTTTTAGTCTTATGGTAAGCCTAAAGCCTTTATTCAAAAAGCCTCTCTGCTTTCTCCTAATTGCTGCCATGAAATGAGCAGATGAGAATCCCTAACTATCCATAACCGCAAGCATACTTTGCCATAGTGTTTGAAGCCATTCAGAAATACACAAAAATACATTTTTTCTGTTTGAAATTATCACCCTACCCTTTCAAACCAAAGTAGGGATTGTTTAGCAATTATTGAGCCTTAAACTACAACTTCCCACGGAGAAAAAAAATGCATTTGATCCTGTGTAATTTTTTCTTTTTTAAATGAATGGATGAATGCATTTTTTTATAATAGAGATAGGGTCTCACTGTGTTGCCCAGGCTGGTCTCAAACTCTTGGCTTTAGGCAATCCTCTGATTATTTTCTTTTAAAATTAATAAGCATCTGGGACAAATAGGTGGCGATGAAGTAAAGTTCATATACAAATCATTGTTTTGTAACATGCTTTCCTTTTTATAATATAATGGTGTAACAGCTTACTCATAGCACTTTAGAAATCAGTTTCACAATTAGTACTAATAGTACGATAAATAAGATTAAGTATCATTATACGTGTTTCACAGTTGAGATATTAAGGCACAGAGACATCAAGGGGCTTGCATAAGATCACAAAGCCTAGAAGTCATGCTCTGGACATCGTATGGAAGAAATAGAAATTAACGTATTTTAGAACGGCTGGGGATTGTCAATGCTCAGAGCAGTGTCTGGCGCGTAGTAGAACTCAATGAATACTTGTTGAGTGAATGAACGGACTTTTCTTTTTAGGCCTGTATTGATGAAAATTTGGACATGGTGAAGTTTCTGGTGGAGAACAGAGCCAATGTAAACCAGCAAGACAACGAGGGCTGGACACCCCTTCATGCAGCAGCTTCCTGTGGCTATCTCAACATAGCAGAGTGAGTGAGTCTCTGTGTATGTGGCTTTGCAGTATTTGTAGGAATAGCCTTCATTACTCTTCTCTTAGTAATTCGAATTTTATAAATTGTTTTAATCTCTCTTTATTACAGATTACAAAAGCAGAAAGTTGAATAATTATGTTTAAGGAATAGCTGATACAATGTTTTGTAAAGCTGCTAAACCCATAGTTTTTTTGTTGAAACTCTTTTTGTTTGCTTCTATTTTCAGGTAATTTATATTTGCTGGGATATGCAGAGGTGGCTGTTGCACTGTCTGGGTTCACTTTCTGAACAACTATAGCTGGGCATGTATATCGGCAGGCCTGGAGATTTTTTTCTGGATTCTTTGTAAACCTGTTTTATTGTTTTTTGTTTGTTTTAAATCAGTGCTTAGTACAAATGAAGCACTGCTTTAAAAGTGCCTAGCATACCAATCACAGCACTCATGTAGTTAATATCAGAAGAATGAGCCTAAACATGTGGAATAAAGGAAAGGTGCACTGGCATGTGTTCTCCACATTAGTAGAATGGGAATGTTTAATAAGCTACATTAGTAGCTACTAATCTCCAGGACAACTAGTTGTCCCTCCCTTGGGCAGAAGAATCCTGGCCGTGTGGTACCTGAGATGTAAGAGGCACTGAATAAATATCTGTTGTATGAAGGAATGATCAGGGAGTTTATTTTTAAACAAGGAAGAGACTTTGGCAGTTGAAATATCTTTAAAATGAGACAGTTGAGTGTATTCTAGATGAGGGTAAATTTATATTGTTAACGTTAATTCCCTAAATAAAATCATGATATTCTATGCCCCTTTGAAAATCAGATTGCTTGTTTGAAGGCCCTTTTCAATAATATGATTAGAGCTCCATTACATTTCTCCTGTTCAGCAAACAGCAGGGAGAATTGTTGGCAGCTCTGTAGAGGCCTGAGAATGACTTCCCACAGAGTCTGATTTGCCCAGGTTTCCTAAGGGAGAGCCTGAGTTGCTAGGTTTGCTGCTGACCCAGGGATGCTCTGTGGGAGAAGTTAAACAAAGGGAGAGTCAGAGCCAGAGAAATTTTAGGCAGCAGCACTGGTGTTTGACTGGGCTGCTTGTTCTAAAAAGTAGATGACTGTGTTGTCCCCAAAGCCAACAGAAATCAACAATGCAGTTTTCTTCACTCTCGATTCCTCCCTCTGTTCCAATTTAATAAAAGTCAGTAACCTTTTCATCCCCTAGGCTGCCTGTTTTCAGAGTTTAATAAGGAGGGCTCTTATTTTTAATCTTATCCAGTAATGCCAGAATTCTGATGCCCAAGAGTTCAAGTGATTTCACTTAAAATAGTTATTTAAGAAACATTTATAGAACATGATGGCCTTTCAATTGCTATTTGTTCAGGTGGGTGTTTGTGATTGATATTCGAGCTACCAAATCTCATTACATTCAAGGATTCCATTTTTTCCCAAGTTCCTTTCTTTCTTCTTCTTTTTTTTTTTTTTTTTTTGAGATGGGGAGTCTCACTCTGTCATCCAGGTTGGAGTGCAATGGCGTGATCTCGGCTCACTGCAACCTCTGCCTCCTGGGTTCAAGCAATTCTCCTGTCTCAGCCTCCTGAGTAGCTGGGACTACAGGCTTATGCCACCATGGCTGGCTAACTTTAGTATTTGTAGTAGAGACAGGGTTTCACCACATTGATCAGGCTGGTCTCAAACTCCTGACCTTGTGATCTGCCCGCTTCAGCCTCCCAGGGTCCTGGGATTACAGGCATGAGCCACCATGCCCGACCTTTTCTTTCTCTTTTCTAAGGAGAGCTCATGCTTAGAATTAGAATCATTTGTGTTGGCATTATCCTCCTGTTGTGTGAAGCTAAGTACAGAGAATGATTGTAATTGCATTTTTTACAGTGATATCTTTAATTCATCTTTATGAATGAATATAGTTCTGGAAGTAAGTTCAAAATGTAAAAATCTCTAGTTCAAACAAATATTACCTTGAACGAAATAAATCTGTGAGAGTAACTATTTCCTAAGACAAATTATTACAAATTAGACATGGAAGTCTGACCAGGAGAAAGGTCATCTAGACCAGAATCCATTGCAGAGGTGGGATGGTGGTAGAGATGGCCTTTATTTTATTTTATGTATATCATTATTAGACAGGTTTTGACTTTACTGTCATTTCTTTATTTGCAGTATGCAGCATTTTTTTATACAGTGGAAAAAAAAAACATTGTACTATTCATTTTGGTTGCTTTACCTCAGGGCCAGTGGAGAATATTTTAAATAAGATCTGTCCCTGATCATCTCGTCATTTTTATTTTTGTCACTTAAAGATCTTAGACTTTCTTTTTTTTGGTAAATTTTTGAGAGCTATTGACTAGAAGGATCTTAGACTTTATATTCTTATTCCCACAATCATTAGGAACTCTAACTTTGAAGGGAGTAGAAATGAATAAAGGCAAACTGGCTTTCTAGGAACAATACAAGTACATTCTATTTCATGTTTCATGATGATCTTTTGTCTCAGTATGTTTCATCAAAAGGAAGGAGCTTCAGAGGCTTTTTTCCTCATTTTAAAATGAGTTCAGTCTTAATGCTGAGTGTTTTTACATTTTTATTATGAATAAATGTTTAACTTAGGAGCAGCAGATTGACCCAAAGGTACAGCATTTGCCTTTATAGTTTTTTGAGATGCTAATTTAGTCTCAGTTTTTTAACATATTCTATTTCCTTTTTTCCTCCCTTAGAATAGTAGAATAAAGACCTTGTTTTGGTGATGAGTTAGGAAGGAGAAGGCTTTATTTTCTAGGTGCATTTTTATTGAGCTAGTGGCTGTTTGTGAGCCTTTGGGCAACTGTAAGGATTTTCAGAGATAAAGTAGAAATTACTTTATAGGTTGATAATTATTCTTGTCCAGGTAAAAGTAAAGCTAAAAAGATTTTTCACTTTTTTTCCCCAAAACTGTAGAAAATAGAAAAACAGAGAGCCCAATTACTTTCTGCTAGAACATTTCCCATGTTCTTGATTGTAGAACATGGGAAAAGCAGGGTCCTGTATATCCAAGTGACATTATGCTTGATCCAGTAGGGATGAAATGGACATCAGAGCAGAGTGGTTAAGATATTTCATGTAATTCAAGCAATATTTATGGAATGCCAGGAGAAAAAAGCAAGGGTTAGATGCCATGGCGATGATAATAGTGAGGAAGACCCAGTTGTTGCTGAAAATCAAAAAGTATCTGAGACAGGTCTCAATCAATTTAGAATTTTATTTTACCAAAGATAAGGATGTGTGCCCAGGAGACAGATCTGTGCCTTTCCCCAAAGATGATTTTGAGAGCTTCAATACTTAAAAGGGAAAAGCAGCCTGGTGGGGGAATGGGGAGGGCATGGTCACATTCCTGAATTCACATGTTGCAAAAGGAAAAGAGCCAGTAGGGGAATAGTCAAGTATTCATCTCATGCTCAGTAAATCAGCACTTTATATAAGATAAGGTGAACATAGAGGTAAACATAGAACCTGTAGAGATATTTAACTTTTTATCTGTAGCTATCTGCTTAGGAACAGAAGGTAAGGCAGCTTCTTGCATGACTCAGTTTTCAGCTTATTTTTTTTCTCTTTTAGCATAGTGAAATTAGGGTCCCAAGTTTTTATTTTCCTTTCACATTGCATTCAAGTAGCTTTCAATCTGATGGAATGATTGCATTGAGGTACAGTGTAAGTCATGACAGGTCTAGAATTAGTGTTTGTTGGGGAGGAGAGGAGGGAGGATGGGGTTAAAGGAAGGCAAGAGGGAATTCAGTTTGTGAGAACAGGAAAGATTTCATGAAGGCAAAAGCATTTTAAATGAACTTTGAAAGAAATGAAAGGTTTCTACAAAGGAAAAGAGAAAGAAGAGTGTCCCACCTCGTTGGAAGAAACAAGCTGTGGAAGAGAGCTGGTTGAGAGTTGATGTGTTTGGGAACAGTAAGTGGTTTAGTTTGATTATAGAGTATAGGGTACACTTCAAGCCACCAAACATTTGTTGAGTGCCTACTATGTGTATTATTTGTATTTTGATATTTCAGGGTACGGGAGGTGTACCTAAATATTCCTTTGGCCTAAGGGAGACGAATCAGAAGAAAAGAGCTATTGAATATGTGGAAATGAAGGGGTAGTTTATGAAAAGAAAACTGGAACTTGAAAGAATTAAGAATAAAAATAGAAAGAGTTAGTTTTGGCATCGAATAAGGTCTGTCTTCCTCTGAGACTATAAGGGAATGAAGGAGATGGTAGAAAGTCAGAGAATTGTGAAGGCCTTTGAGCTTTATTATACATGTGGGATTGATCCATAAATTAACAAACATTTATTGAGGCTCTATTATACCAAGTAGGCACTGAGAAAGCAAAAACATGGTCTTAATCTAATCTCTGTTGATTCTTTTCCCTCTGTCAACTTTTTAATTTTTTAATTTTGTTTTTAGACAGAGTCTTGCTGTGTCACCCAGGCTGATCTTGGCTCACTGCAGCCTCCGCCTCCTGGGTTCAAGCAATTCTTGCGCTTCAGCCTCCTGAGTAACTGGGACTACAGGTACCTGCTACCATGCCTGGCTAAGTTTTGTATTTTTAGTAGAGATGGGGTTTCACCATGTTGACCAGGCTTGTCTCAAACTGCTGGCCTCAAGTGATCTGCCTGCCTGGGACTATAGCAGTCAGCCACTGCATCTGGCCCCCTCTGCCAGTTCTTTGAATGCAGTGGCCAGCGGGCACATATTGATTATCTTTTTTTTTTTTTTTTTAGTGGGCTAAGCAAGTTAAGCCTGGAAATTTTTTTTTTTTTTTAATCTTCTACAGTGTCTAAAATGTGATTTCTTGAATATGATAGGGGACCAGTAAATGTTTATTGAATTTGTTAAACATGTGCTTTGAATGAAGAGATTCCCCAAACAGCATTTGTGTGATCGACATGGCTGTTTATTCACCCAGGTGCAGGTGGGCTGAGTCCAAAAAGATAGTCAGCTCAGGGAGGTGGAAGAGGGGTTGGTTTTATAGGTTTGGGGTAGGCATTGGAAAGTTATATAAGTTACAGGTCAGGGCAGCTTTTGCAAGCTGGGAGGGGGTCGTAGGGTCTGGAGGCACGAGGTTGACCAAGGTCAGTTACAAAGTCCAGTTGCCTTATCAGTTGAGGCAGGAATAAGGAACAACAGAAGAATGTCTCAAAGTTAATTAGGTGCCGCAGGGGTTGATCATTTCTTCTCCTTTTGTGGTTTTCCAGTTACTTCAGACTTTCTAGTTCCAGGAACTCATCTGGAGTGTATGTGCAGGTCGCAGAGGTCACCATGCCATCCATGGCATGGTCAGTTGGACTAAAAACCCTTACAGAATTGTTGAATGGCTTGAAGTCTAATCTGAATAATTTTTCTTTATTCTTTAAATATTTCTGAGTATTTGATAGAGCTCTTAGCATTATTAGAGTTCTCACTAGCCCAAAAGTGACTTGATTTAGAGAAAACATGAACTAGATTTGAGTCAAGACTGGGGCTGTACCCTCTGCCATTTGCCAGCTATGTGATTTTGAGAAAATTGCTTTATATAAATGGACCTCAATTTCTTAATGTCATGGTAATAATACCCATATTGCCTACTTCAAAATGTTGCCTGAGAAGCCGCGGGACTTGGCGCGCATGCAGGAATCAGCAGCAGGTTGGCATATGAGAGGTTTTCTTGCTCTAGAACCTCATAGAAAATTCTCAGGGAGATTCTTCAAGCAACCACTATGTCAGCAGACCCAGAAATTTCCCTTTCTTCATATGATGAAGATCAGGGATCCAAACTTATTCAAAAAGCTAAAAAGGCACCATTCATGCCCATTGGAATGGCAGGTTTTGCAGCAATTGTTGCATATGGGTTATACAAATTGAAGAGCAGGGGAAATACTAAAATGTCTGTTCATCTGATCCACATGCATGTGGCAGCCCAGGGCTTTGTTGTAGGAGCAGTGACTGTTGGTATGGGCTATCCCGTGTATCGGGAATACTGGTCAAAACCTAAGCCTTAGAAGAAGAGATGCTGTCTTGGTCTTGTTGGAGGAGCTTACTTTAGTTAGGCATCTCTTTATTGAAGTTATGTATTGTTGAAAATAAACTAATTTGTATGGGTTTAGATGGTAAAATGGCATTTTGAATATTGGCTTCCTTTCTTGCAGGCTTGATTTGCCTGGTGTGACTGCATTAGTAGTGGCTAGTTTACTAACTAGGTCATTCAAGGAAGTCAAATTGAAAGAAACGTGTCACCTAAATGCACTTGATGATGTTGAAGTGTCCACCTTCTTAAATCGTTCAGCTGAACTTAGTTCTAAAGAAAATAACAGGCCAACCCTGAAGTAATCCCAGTTTGCTGCAGAATCTCAGATGTTTTGGCTGTTATATAAGAGTTCTATTTGCCCCAGTCAATTTAACTTTTTTCTGCCTGTTTTGTGGACAGGCCGGCCCTTTTAGAACTCTGTCCAAAGAGTTCATGGATTCTAACTTGTAAAGCTCTCCACAACTAACAATACGTATATGTGCGTGTGTTTAAACCAAATGTAGAAAGCTTACAGTAGAGCTGCATAATAGTAGTATTTATTAAAGAATCTCAGTTGTAAACATAAGAATAACTTACAGATTCTAATTTAGTTCTTGTGTAACTATGAATTATATTTTTGCTGCTGTTATATTAGAATAAATTTTGAATGTCATCTTGAAATAGAAATATGTATTTTAAGCACTCATAGCAAAGGTAAATAAACACTTTTTAAGTGTGTGCAAATGGGTTTGATTAATGACTTAAGAGCAAGCTGGTTTGGCCAGACAGTATACCCAAACTTTTATATAGTACAGAATGCTATTACACTGGTGAAATGCTCTTGTCTAAACTGAATTTACATTCCATCATGATAACATGGTATATGTATTGTCATTAAAGTAAGCGACCCATCAAAAAAAAATGTTGCCTAAGACTTATGATATAATTTTATGTGAAGGAGCTTTGAAAATCAGAAAAGATCTATGTAAGGTATTGAAATTATTAGACCTTTCTTCTTCAGAATCAGGTATTCTATTCGGATTTATAATTTAATTATTTAACATTTTAATATTTCTTAAGTAATTTAGTTTCATCTTAGAGTAGAGAAAGATTTCATGTGGATGGTTGGTTGATAGGAGAGTCTTGTGGAGGCATAATTAAGGCAGATTTATGCACATTTTAATGAGTGCTTTACTCTTCTATTTTCACTCCCCCAACACTACTTAATAAGCTCCAATTTGGTATTGAGAATGTTTAAGGCTGCATGCATTGTTTATGTTACTTAGAAATCCTCTTGCCATCCACTGAGAGTAAGAGGCTGGTAGTTAGTAATATGAGTGAAAGAAACCCTGTTTGTTCGAATTGCTCTAATTAGGAAATGGGGAAGCCCTCAGTCTTAATTATTGAAGTTTAAGGCTCCTAGAAATTAATAATGGAATATCTTATCTGGGACCGTGTTTTAAACTCAAAATAGAGACTTTCTGTTTATTGAATGCCAGATGCATGAGTATAAATTTACATTAGATTCGCAGATAATACTGATCCTGGATCTTGTCTACGCAGGTATTTCATTAACCACGGAGCCAGTGTAGGTATTGTCAATAGTGAAGGAGAAGTTCCCTCTGACCTTGCAGAAGAGCTAGCCATGAAAGATCTTCTTCTGGAGCAAGTAAAGAAGCAAGGTAACTTCATGGATTGGAGGGGGCCAGGAAAGATTCTCAAACACTGCCATTTACAGAAAATAATCCATTTGTCGTGTAGAGTGTTTCACTATCATATGACAGGAGAGGATTTCATCTATCTCTACTGCATTAATCATTAATCTGGCATCATATATCCTCATAATGACTCACACAAAAATAGTCCAGATGCCAAAAGGATGACCAGTCATTCCGTTTTTTTCGTTTGTTTGTTTGTTTTGCCATTCAGAGGTTGCATACCCATCATACAGTTAAGGGTGAACTGATGAGAAGTGTGAAGGTTTCTTACTGTGTGTATGCAAGGTATTGGGATACAGTGTAAATCTGAGTATTAGCCAAATTCAGTTTGTGACTTTGCGTCTTTTCCCTTGATGAGAGCTAAGAGTAGTGCTGCTAAAGATATTTATTGTAACTAATCATGAAAATTATTATGATAATTTGTTAAGGTGAGGACACTAACTTAGAATAATGTATTCTAAAAATGCCTATTTTATAGTTTTAGAAGTCTCGATTTCACAGAATAGGATGTAATTCTTCTACCTGGAAGTCCCTGGGTTATTTTTCTATCATAAAACTCTGTGGACAAGATTTGTAGTGATTTTTTTTTCAGTCCTTCTGCTAAACTACCTTACTCACAATGTGTAGTTCATCCCAGAGGATTTAGCTCCAGTGGTGGTCTTTCCCAATAGGAACTTTTAGAACAGTCAGGGCCAATTCTTGCCGTGTGCATTGTTTACGTATTATCCAAAACTGCTTTTGTGCTACAACAGCAGAGTTGAATAGTTGTGATAGATTGGATAAATCACAAAGTTGAAAATATTTCATATTTGGCCTTTTAGAGAAAGTTATGCTGATCTTACCTTAATATAATGATGTTTCTAGGTCAGTAACTACTTGCTTTTGCTGCCTTCCATGTATAGTTTTTGTGTCCTTTTTTTTGAGATAGAGTATCACTCTGTTGCCCAGGCTGGAGTGCAGTGGTGCCATCTTGGCTCACTGCAACCTCTGCCTCCCAGGTTCAAGTGATTCTCTTGCCTCAGCCTCCCGAGTAGCTGGGACTGTAGGTGTGCGCCACCATGCCTGGCTAATTTTTGTATTTTTGGTAGAGACAGGGTTTCACCATGTTGGCCAGGCTGGCCTTAAACTCCTAACTTCCAGTGACCCGCCCGCCTCAGCCTCCCAAAGTACTAGGATTACAGGCATGAGCTGTGCGTGGTTTTGTGCCCTACTGAACTGAAGAATTTTATGCTTAGCTTAACCTCCATTCTTACTCAGTTTTATCTCCTAAGATTTGCTTTAAAATGTACAAATAACTTTAAAAAAACTCAAGTTTTAAGAAATAATTTTGATTGGAGAAACCACTTTTTCTATTTTGGTTGCTGACTCTTCAATTAAGGAGCATACTCTGTTGAAAGAGATATTTATCCATTTGACCCAGCAATCCCATTACTGGGTATATACCCAAAGGATTATAAATTGATCTATTATAAAAACACATGCACATGTATGCTCATTTTGGCACTGTTTACAACAGCAAAGACTTGGAGCCAACCCAAATGCCCATCAAAGATAGACTGGATTAAGAAAATGTGGCACATATACACCATGGAATACTATGCAGCCATAAAAAAGGAAGAGTTCATGTCCTTTGCAGGGACATGGATGAATCTGGAAACCATCATTCTCAGGAAACTGACACAAGAACAGGAAACCAAACACCGCATGTTCTCACTCATAAGTGGGTGTTGAACAATGAGAACACATGAACACAGGGAGGGGAATATCACACACTGGGGTCTGTTGGGGGATGGGGGGCTAGGGGAGGGATGGCAGGGGTTGGGGAGATTGGAGAGGGATAACATTAGGAGAAATACCTAATGTAGGTGGCGGGGGGATGGAGGCAGCAAACCACCATGGCGTGTGTATACCTATGCAACAATCCTACAGGATCTGCACATGTACCCCTGAACTTAAAGTAAAATAAAAGAAAAAAGAAAAAAAGAAAGCGGTATTTATGTATATGCTTAACTTTGTAGCACTGCTAACACTTCTTTGTGTTTGGAGTACTGAGCTGTTCTAAATTGGTCACTTCTTAACCCATTCATCTCCCAAAATCACACAGATAATAGATAATACTTAGGTCGTTGACAGGTTCTCCTTTTGTTTTTGAATGCAGTGGCGTAATCTCGGCTCATTACAACCTATGCCTCCCAGGTTCAAGCAATTCTTGTGCCTCAGCCTCCTTGAGTAGCTGGGATTACAGGCACCCACCACTATGCCCAGCTAATTTTCATATTTTTAGTAGAGATGGGGTTTCACCATGTTGGTCAGGCTGGTCTCGGTCTCCTGAGACCTCAGGTGATCCAACCACCTTGGCTTCCCAAAGTGCTGGGATTACAGGCATCAGCCACAGTGCCTGGCAGGTTCTCTTTTAAGAGCTGAAAGGGAGCAGACCAAGCACAAAGACTGCTAATGAATGTAAAACTTTTTGAATGGGTATGTTTGTATTTGAGATATTGTATTATTTTGTATAATGGGGTATGCCCCACCGTAACCCCTTTTCACTGGCACAAATATTGGAGAGTTATTGGGTAACGGGAGGAACTCTTAGAGTTCTTTCATAATGTTTTTTTCTTTTTTTCTTTTTTTTTTTTTTTTTTGAGACGGAGTTTCGCACTTGTTGCCCAGGCTCGAGTGCAATGGCGAGATCTCGGCTCACCGCAACCTCCGTCTCCTGGGTTCAGGCAATTCTCCTGCCTCAGCCTCCTGAGTAGCTGGGATTACAGGCACGCGCCACCATGCCCAGCTAATTTTTTGTATTTTTAGTAGAGACGGGGTTTTACCATGTTGACCAGGATGGTCTCAATCTCTTGACCTCGTGATCCACCCGCCTCAGCCTCCCAAAGTGCTGGGATTACAGGCTTGAGCCACCGCACCTGGCAGCAGACAGGTTTTTAAACTGCAGATCACCTACTAATCTGTTCTAGATTATATATCTTCAAATCCGTGTATTTACCTGTATATGGAAATGAATTTTAGAGATAGTTCAATTTTTAAAGTATATCAATACCTGAAACCAAGATTTTGGATACTAATCCTATGGTATAGTGAGTGGACTGGGACCCAGAAGAAGAATGACAAAGAGGAACCCAGGATATCAGAGTTCTAGTGGCAAGCTCTGTCACTAATGTGTTTTGTGAGTTTGAGCAAGATGCCTAACCTTTTTATTTTTTTTCCTTATCTGTTAAATCGGGATTGTGTATTATGTATACCTTGAAAGATTGTTGGAAAACTAAAATTTTTAGAGACTTGGAAGTTTATAGCTTTGTACAAATATTATAATGTAAAAATAATGTCCCCTTTGTCTTTATGTTCTGTTGAAAACAACTTTAGGTGCATTCCCTTAATGGATCTGTATCATATAATATTTAACCTGATGATTTAACTCTGGTAAGACCATTAATGTGTGTACAAATGCCATTGATATTCTAAATTTGATAATTACCAACTTGATGGCTAAATTGTTATTTGTATTTATATTTATGATGTGCCTTAATCTAAGGAAAATAACCTGTCAAACTTAAGTGGACCTTTAGTAATCCTAGCTATCTGGTATCTGCTTTCTGTAGGAGTTGATCTAGAGCAGTCAAGAAAAGCAGAAGAGCAGCAGATGTTGCAGGATGCCCGCCAGTGGCTCAACAGTGGGAAAATAGAGGATGTGAGGCAGGCTCGCTCAGGGGCTACAGCCCTTCATGTGGCTGCTGCCAAGGGCTACTCTGAAGTCCTCAGGTATTGTATATTTATATCAATCAGGAGTGGTTCACTGGGAGAAGATGAAATGGCTTTTAGAAGCAGAGGCTGAATTAAATTTTCTGCTATGGTGTGTCCTTTTTTTGTTGGTTTCCTCACTGTGCAGACTTTTCTCACATTTTGCTGGTATTCATCCGTGGGTTGTGTCCCTCCCTCCTGCCATTCCTCTAGCTTCTCACTGACATGCATGATGTGAAACAGAGTTGAGGTACACTGTCCTAGGAGGTGACTTCTTCCAGTTCTATGATTTGGCATTAATATCCCTGCAACTACCTCTTCTTGTGACCTATTATACTTGTGATCATTTGTTCCCTTTTGACTTATATAATTTCTTTGGTGTCATTAGATTAATTATCTAAATCTTGAGTATGCAGTGCCCAGCTGGCACAGGATAGTCAAACGTATATGAGGAATTTGGACTCTACTACTCTCTATTCCATTTTTCCTTACATCCATACATGCTTTAGATAGCTATTGGTACTTAATGTTGACAGGCTTTCCCAAATACATGGGCTGCCAAAGGCATTATATGTGCAGTTGTTAACTGGACTCTTCTAGTATTTTATATTTCACCTAATAGGGGGTTTCTAGTAGGTAAAGCAGTGTTTTGGTGCTCCATTTCTGCCTAAGAGTGCTATCCATAAGGGCCCAATGTAGTTTGGGTCTTCAGGAGTCAAATATTTTCTCTTCTGTGCATACAAGTTAAATTATAGCTTTATAGTTAGCAAGAAATTGGAGGTATGTGGATTTAGAATAAATATAGTATCCTAGAAAGACCAACCAGAAAGCTAGTTGGGAAAATACCCTGAAGAGAATTGAGTCTTCATTTTATTTTATTTTTTTAAACTTTATTTTTATTGTTGTCACTATTACAAATAGATAGAATGACCTAGTCTATTGACAGCCTATTAGAGTCTTCATTTTTATATGTTACTTCCTCCCTGCACTGGAAAATGGAAAATGTACCTTTAAGAGTTATGTGATTTGGCTAATTGAATTACACTTTAGTTAATCTTAGGTACATACCTTTCTGTATACTCCCTTTGTGTAGTGTAACATGGATATGCCTAGGGAATATGACTTTTTTGAGAAGATTGATAAAGGTTATCTATGATTGGTACACAAGGTAGTAACTATGAAACCCAAACTGTGCCTTAGAGGGCGGAAGTAATCATTAAGACCCCTGTGGTTCAGGGCCAAAACCTGAAATATCAATTAGGTAATAGTTTACTTGCCAGAAAACTGTAATATAAAGGAGATACATGTCTTGTTTTGGGTTTTCTTTTTAGACTTTTAATTCAGGCTGGCTATGAACTCAATGTTCAGGATTATGATGGCTGGACTCCCCTCCATGCTGCTGCACACTGGGGAGTAAAGGAGGCTTGCTCCATCCTGGCAGAAGCACTCTGTGACATGGATATTCGAAACAAACTGGTTAGTGAGCCTGAACCTCTAAAAGAACAATGAGGTTGGTGGCTGGGTTTCTAGAATAAAAGGCTTAACATCTCTATTCAATGGCAGCCTGAGTTGTTCTGGTGAAATATATATCATTGGTAGCTATGATGTTACCTTCCACCACCCTGCCTCTGGCCCTATTAACACAGAGTTATGTTTGTTATTCAAAATAAAACCCATGGACCTTCTGATTTTATATTCAAGCCTCTAAAACAGGAAAAAAATATATATTTGTTCTTGGCAAAAAATGAGCTCTGAGGAGCCTAATGTTACTGTCTGTGATGAGGTATGAAAGATTTTATTGTTACTGTATTTATATGAGTCATTAAAATGTTATAATGACAGATCCTTGAGTTTGACAGAAAATAGTGTTATTCAGCCTCACTTCAAACAACTTAGAACTCTGGAACTCCTATCCCCTATGTCTGCTGATTTTATTTTAACTAAAATTAGAAAATTTTTTTTTTGTAGACATGGAGTCTCACTGGTTTCCCAGCTGGTCCCGAACTCGTGGGCTCAAGTTATTCCCCTGCCTTGCCACTTGTAATCCCAAACTCTGTGTTTAAAGGATTTGGTGTTTTTTGTTATGTGTCATCTGTGACAGATTAAGGTATTATTTGAAATTAAAGGCAAATAATAAAGCTATTATTGAAATTAAAGGCAAAAAGTGAATATTGAGTTGAGTAATCCCAAAGTGTTGGGATTACAGGTGTGAGCCACTGTGCCCAGCCCATAAATGTACTGATTTTCGAGGAGTGCAGAGATATGGCCTTTTAATTAGTAGGTATTCTTATCTGCTTCACATCTCTCCTGAACCCATGTTTCATTCTCAGACTATGGGTCAGGGTTCTTAATTATGCTGATGGCTCCTAATAGAGGTAACTTTCTTGTCAGTCCTCCTCTCACTTAAAGGAAGATGATTTAACTGGGTGCAGTGGCTCACACCTGTAATCCCAGCACTTTGGGAGGCCGAGGTGGGCAGATCACGAGGTCAGGAGAGATCAAGACCATCCTGGCCAATAAGATGAAACCCTATCTGAATGATTGAATGAATGAATGAATGGATGGAAGATGATTCCTATGATTTAATCTTTATTACACATGTGTCCTGAACCTCTCTCTGCAGTTTTGAAGAGTCCTTTATGGAATTTATCATAGCAATTAAGACCATTTTAGAACAGATACAAGTAGGGATTTCACTTTATTATTTGCCAAATGACAGGACTAGAAATGGTGCTATTTCCTCAATACTGTTGTACAAACTCTATATTTAAAGAATTTGGTGTTTCTTGTTATGTGTCCTCTGTGATAGATGAAGCTATTATCATAATATGTGGTAGATTAGTTTAGGAAGTGGCTATTATTGGAGTCAAAGGCAAAAAGTGACTATTGAATAGTTTCTTGATAAAGTCACGTAATTGCTTTTTCTGTTTTCTATCAGTCATGTTGTCCCTTTTCTCTGCCAGGGCCAGACACCATTTGATGTGGCTGATGAGGGTCTTGTGGAACACTTGGAGATGCTCCAGAAGAAGCAGAATGTGGTAAGTCTTTGGTGCTTTCAAACTTTTCTAATAGTTTGCAGTTCACACCAAGTATCTTCATCACTTGTTTCAGTTACATCTGCTGAGAGTTGAAATGGACATATCGGCCTTCCAGAGATGTTCATTGTTTCCTTCAGGAACATAAACAGTCTGTTAGAAGAATGTATCCCAGAAACTATTCTTGTTCAGGTTTTTTGCTCATTGTATGATAGCCTTCAAGGAGTTGAAAGTTAAAATAGCAACAAAAAAAAACTAATAATTACCCTTTAGTTCTAGAAAAATGAATGTGATATGTTCAAATCAGAGGTTTTTCGAAATAGAAAGTACCAGAGTGGAGGACACTCATGACTTTTTTTTTCTTATTGACTAAAAGGCTATCTTTATTTAAGTACATTGATTACAGAGAGGAATATATATTTCTTTCTTAAAAAATAAGGAAACACAATCCTAAAACAGTCCTTTAGGGGAGTATTTGGTCAGTGATTCATACTTATTCCAGTTTTATGAAACATCCAGAATTCAGTCCTCCTTTCTCTGCTCTTCATTTTAAATCTTTTGGCGTTTGATCACACGTGCCTTTGGCTTAATTAGTACTATACAAGAGAACTACATTAGTATGTATTTGTGTTCAAACTGCAGAATGGAAAACCCACCCAATATACAGATGAAAAGTGAATAAGCCATATTTTTTACTCATAAAGCAGATGAATAATTTGAGGATAATAAAGATCAATGATATTAGGGTGGGACATTAGGTGCAAAAAAGTCAATGGCATTTTTTTTTCTTTTGTACTTGCTGTCACTCAGCTAATGTCAACTAAAGTTTAGGACAGATGTGGGGAACAGCAGTTCTGAATCAGATAACTGCATAGCTCAATGATGGGACAGATCAACCATACCTAACCTCTGTTGTGTTCAGCATTATGTCTGGAATGGTAAAGTGAAGATTCTAGTTATTTTAAGGCTCAGCGGGGAAGTCACATACATAAAGCGCAGACAAACACAACATAAAGTTCATTTTGTTCTTTGTTGATCAATCAGGATCACTGAAACCAGGATTTTCAAGTATAGTGTCAATGCTGTTATTTAGCAGCAACAGCCTCCCTAATTATAAGATGTATACTTTGCACAGTTAGGTTCTTGTAATTTTTAAAACTTTTTATTCTGAAATAAGTTTAGACTCACATGGAATTTGCAAAAATAGAGAGTTCCTGTGTATTCTCTACCTAGCATGGTTAGGTTTTTGAGCATCAATAGTATTAATCATGAAATAATATTTCTACACCAGTGGGAATGGTACTTATCTTTGCCCTCTGCATAACTTGGAGTTCCAGGGATATAAATACATCTTGTCTAGAGCATGCATCTAAATAGCAGACCATTTTCTCTAAGGGTTTCTTTCCCATTTGGTACCTGTGTTTTCTTTAGAAATGTTGCCAACTTATTTCAGTATATGAATCATAAAGAATTCTTTCAGGTTCCTTCTGGCTTTTTCTCCTTCAGAATCTAGGCTTTTATTGAAGATTGGGTTTGGATATTTGATAGGAGCAGTTTTATTGAAGCTCTTAATACCATGGCTTTTCTATTCTATCTTGGATGAGTTCTGTCATCTAAGGAGACCCAGCTGATATGTTTCTCTTTTTCTTGGGTTCCCCTCTACCTCTTTGGTGTTGGTCCTGTTTTCTTCAGAATGTCAGTACCATTTTGGTTCTCAATACTGATGATTTTTCACCAGTAGTCAACTTCTTCCCTTTTCTCTCTGTTTTCTCCATTTCCAGCTTCGAAGTGAAAAGGAGACACGGAATAAACTCATTGAGTCAGACCTGAACAGCAAGATGCAGATTGGGCTCTTTAAGAAGTAAGACTTTTAGGTTTAAGGAAAGGGATGAGCTTTGCTCTGTGTCATTCACATACTTAACTTCAGAATGTATAAAGTGAAGAAACTCTGTGTTTGTATTTAGCCAAATGATCTTATAAACTTGTGGGAAAGTTTGTGGGGCAAGAGAGTGGCGTTGATATGTGAGGGGGATACTAAGGATGGTTGACTGTGTTTTAAACTTCAAAATTAATTGAGACTGTGTGCACTATTTTAAAATCCTGGCTTAGGTGTTCTTAGTCTCAGCTTCTGCCTTTACTTACTATAAGTTTCATGAACTCAAGAGACAGTGTCTATTTTGTTTATGACTATACCAGTGCCTAGCATGATTCCTGGCATGTAATAAGTACTCAGTAAACATTTGTTAAATGATTTTTTTTGAATATGTATCCACCATCATCAAAATTCATAGCTCTTCTTTTTTTTTTCTGTGTGTTAAACAGGCCAGATTTCCTTGAGTCACACTCTGTAGTCAAATACTAAATCTTAGTCTGCAAAAATGAAGGGTTCAGAAAAACACACAGATGTAAAGAAGAATTTGAATGTGTTTCTGTTATTGTTTCCACATATAGGTTTACAGACTTACTCCCTTTATTATACCTGATTATCACTTCTGAATTATACTCAAGTTGTCATCTTTAATTTAGCAAAGAGAAGATGCTCTATGAGGAGGAGACTCCTAAGTCCCAAGAAATGGGGGAAGAAAACAAAGAATCTAGTAGCTCCAGCTCAGAGGAGGAGGAAGGTGAAGATGAAGCTTCTGAGTCAGAAACTGAGAAGGAGGCAGGTAATACAAAGATGTTCATAGTAAAGATCCTCTATCTCCATAGTATAAGGAGATTACCCCTTGTCAGAGAGCTAGCACCTTTGGAGCACCTCACAGGACTCCAAAAAGAGCTTGAAGTTTAGTTTTCAAGGATAAGAGATCAAATTGCTGGTGACCAGCTGATACAAAAACTGTGAGCTATGTTAGACTATATCTACTGATTCCTATATAGCCATATAATAAGGTACACAAAGAATTCTTAGGTGAAGGCCAGGTACAGTGCCTCAACACTTTTGGAGACCAAGCAGGGTGACTTGCTTGAAGTCAGGAGTTCAAGACCAGCTTGGGCAACATAGCAAGACCCTGTCTCTACAAAAAAATTAAAAAATAATAATAATAATAATACTTATGTGAGGGATCCAACTGTCCTTACCCCATTTTGGTAGTTGGAATAGAGGCCAGATTCCAAAATGCCATTGTGCTGAGAGGCAAAGAAGATGAGCTCTTGCAGAAGCTCCTAGGGTCAAATTAACGTGAATACTTGCATTTAATTCTCAGGTTTGTGTGAGTCCCTAAACAGAATTTTAAAATCTTTTTCCCCCGCATTATTTGAGTTGGGGAATGAGGAAGGAACAAAATCATATTTACCTTTATGGCTATTGATAACATATACTTCATATAGAGAGTTTGTTTGTTTGTTTTTTTTTTGAGACAGAGTCTCACTCTATTGCCCAGGCTAGAGTGCAGTGGTGTGATCTTAGCTCACTGCAACCTCCACCTCCCATGCTCAAACTATCCTTTTACCTCAGCTGCCCCAGTAGCCAGGACTACAGGTACACACCATCACACCCAGCTAATTTTAGTATTTTTAGTAGAGACAGGGTTTTACTATGTTGGCTAGGCTGGTCTCAAACTCCTGACCTCAAATGATTCATCTGTCTTGGCCTCCCAAAGTGCTAGGATTACAGGCGTGAGCCACCATGCCTAGCCTTAGAGCTTCTTAAGTTTATTGTTTGACAAGACAGGAATCCCAACAGTGAAAGTGAAGTATTTTTTGTGAATATTTTTTGTGGTCAGACCAAGAAGCTATAAAATAATCCACAGGTTTTGATTTATAGTCAGGCAAACACTGAGAAGAGAATACTGGCTTTTACTGAATAGAGTTTCAACTGCAACAGAAATAGTTCTCATAGATAATTGGAAGCTAATTATAAACTAAGATTTTATAGTATACCTATGTCCCACATTCACTACCATATTATCCCTCCAAACTGGAGTCCATGATAAGATGAAATGTTTCTGATAGAGGGGAAATGGTCACACATTGAGTTTATAATGGCGTCTGTGCTGTCCTCTGAACTCTGCTGCGGCTGACCTACCCATAATGAAGATATTTAACTTACTCTGTTATCTGGGCACCAGCTCCTGATGCAGTCTGGCTTTGCTGATACGATTTCTCTCCATTATGGGAGAATACTACCCTTCTTAATGTCTCAATCTTTGAGGCTCATTGAATGTCAGTCACCAAAGGAAGTTAGAGAATCATCAGTTCTATAGAGAAGACAGGCACCAGCTAAGTTTACAGTGTAGGAGATGATCTTTTATTCATTGAGACTTGAACTTCTATTGTTAGTCATCACAGTTTGCTCTGGAAATGCCATTATAGTACCTGTCAGAATTTATAAATGTGCATCTTTTTGATATTTGATTATTTATTAAGAACTTACATATTCTAGCCTTCAAGTATTTGGAACAAATATCTGAACTTGCACTATGCTAGATCACTTTTGTTAGTGGCTAAGGTATGAGAAAAATTGGAGGGAGCTGCCTGAACTACTGTCATTGCTTTGTGATGTGTACCCTTGCCTCAGATCTCTTGTTCTCTGTTGTCCGTGTTCACATTGCTGTTGGTATAAACACCCACAGTACCCTTTTGATTATGCTACACCTCTATTTAAACCTATGACTACCTCCCTCACTCCATCTTTGCCTACAGAGTAAATAAACCCCAAGCCTCATGCTCTGGCCTTCAGGACTTTTCATAATCTAGCTCCAGCTGACCTTTCCAATGCTGTACATAGATAAGGACATATTTTGGCCAAGCTGGACTGCTTAATTTCATCAAACATGCACCGAGCTTTCCTGTTCCTGAACATTTGTTTGTACAGTTTATGCCTAAATTCATTTCAGGCCATCAATGCTTGTCGAGTGATTTCTGTAGGACTGTAGGATCCAGCAGATTGAAAAAGTTGTTCTGGTACAGGAAGCTGAAAGGAAGCGGGCCGCCGCACTGTTCTTCTATCCTAGCACTGCCTTCCTAACTCTGCTGCAGCACTCGTCGTTTTGTCTGGGACTCGGTTTATTACTGAACCCAGGTCTCAGCTCAATGCCTGGAACATAACAGACATTCACATTTATTGAATACTTTTTGTTGAGTATATCTAGTCAGGGAATAGAAAGGATAATACATGAATAAAATACATGTCACATGAGAAATAATAAGTGCGGTCAAGGGTATTTACTAGTAAGAAACATTGCATCTAGTTCAGGGAATTACAATGAAACTTTAAAAGTGTGGTACTTTTTACTTTGCACCACACTTTAACATTTTTATTTCATTCTCACAACCACAATCTGAGGTATACATTATCAACACCACTTTTTAGAATGGGAAATTGACACTGTAGGAGGGTAGGTGAATTAGGTTTCATAGCTGGCAAGTGGAATGCCTAATATCTGGACTTTGATCTGGGACTCCTCAAAGTAATAGTAGGAACCCAGTAGAAATTATCTGCATAAGAAATGAAAGGTAAAACTATAGAAAAGGATGAGATCCCTATAGATAGATTTTATATATGATATAATAAGTGGAGTTTTCAGTTTTTGTCTGAAAGTTGGACTTGGAGCGTACCAAGATGAAAATAACATTGAGCTTATTTTCTTCTGCCAACAGTTGCAAGAGGTCTTATGTTAGTTTACATCCAAGCATTACAAGGCCTTAATAATCTGTTTGGATAATGGGCAAACCTTTTCTATTAGCAGAAAAGGACATAGACACAAAGGTAAGATGTTTATAGTAGTACTTGTTACTTCTCTTGTCTTAAATAACAGATAAAAAGACAGAAGCCTTTGCCAACCATTCCAACTCTGAAAGCAAGAGTAGTATCACGGAGCAGATACCAGCACCAGCTCAAAATACCTTCTCTTCCTCTTCTGCTAGGAGGGTGAGTACTTTTGATTTAATTTGGGAATCATATTTCACCTTACTGCAGTAGCACACACCTAGAATGGCCTTAAATGTACATTCTTGCAAAATAATAAAAATATATTCCTGCCTGTTGTAGTCTGCTCTCATAACAAAAAACACAGGCTGGGTGGCTTAAACAACAGAAATGTATTTCTCACAGTTCTCGAGGCTGGGAAGTCTCAGATCAAGGTACCAGCCAATTCAGTTCCTGGTGAGGGCCCTCTCCCTGACATGAATATAACCACCTTCTCACTATGTCCTAACATGGCAGAGAGAAGGAGCTCTGGTGTCTCTCTTCTTATAAGGTAACCAGCCAGCCCTATTGGATTAGGGCCCCACCCGTTTGACACCTTGTTTAAACTTCTTTACTTCTCACAGACCCTATCTCCAAATATAGTCACATTGGGAATTAGTGCTTCAATGTATGCATTTTGGGAGGACACGAACTTTCAACCTATAACATTGCCCCCAAAAATCTGTAAGACCAAATTTGGCTACCATGTGTTAAGATAATGTAAGAGAGAGTAGTCTGAGACCAAAGAGATTTTGTCATTTGCCTATTTTCTTTGTATCTAAAGTTAAGATGCCTACATGTAAAGTGTGGGCTGGGCTAGAAGATATCCAGCATCCAACATTCATTTTGTTGATGGTTATTCTTCTTTTTCTAATTCTCCTTTAAGACTTTACTTTCTTTTTTTATTTTTTATTTTATTTTTTTAATACCCCCTGCAGGGGGCAAGACTTTACTTTCATGAGTACCTTATGATTAGTAGAGGGCGGAGGTAGAAATAATTTGTTGAAATACCAGAGGCACCTCCTTCTATAACTTTGTCAGGCCTCTGAGAATCTGTAGGCTTCTAGGCAGTGAGACTCAGTTGAACAATGACCGTGCTCTACAAAGTATAAAATTCCTTTTGAGGTTAAGAATTGATTTGAGTTCTTTAGAATGAAGCTATTGAAAAAGCCCTGTGGATGTATAGCTATAAACTTATTGATCTTCTTAGCACTTTATGAATTGGAAAGATTGGCTTATGGTATTCTCGTGGAAATGAGAGAACAAAGGCCTGGCTACTTATCCCTAGAAGCTTCATTGTAAATAATTAAAGAGGTTTTGAATAAATATAATTCTCACTCATTATTCAGTCATTTAGTTGTACTTCATATACTGTCACTGCTTCTAAGGATGCCTAGATTTGCTACTGTTTTCAATAGAAAAATGCTAAGTAAGACAGTGGCTCACACATACAATCTCAGCCCTTTGGGAGGCCAACATGGGCAAATCACTTGAACCCAGGAGTTTGGGACCAGTTTGGGCAACACGGGCAAACCTCATCTTTACAAACAGTAAAAAAGCCAGGCGCGGTGGCACACACCTGTAGTCCCAGCAACTTGGGACTGGGCAGCTGAAGTAGGAGGATCACTTGAGCCTAGGAGGTCAAGGCTGCAGTGAGCTGTGATTGTTCCATTGTACTTCAGCCTGGGCAATAGAGTGAGACCCTGTCTCAAAACACACACACACACACACACACACACACACTCTCTCTCTCTCTCTCTCTCTCTCTCTCTCTCTCTCTCTCTCTCTCTCTCTCACTAAAATGATGCTGGGAAAGGCATTTTCCCCCTTAGAATCAGGGTAGTTTGTAAAAAACTGACATTATTGAAGCCCTAAAGCTGGAAGGATTACATTAATGTGTACATTCAGATGACTGATGAAAAGGGAAAATCCATTAAATCAAGATGAGTGATTTAATATTTTTGTTGATGTTTCACGATATGGGGCAGTAAAAGTAGCCTCATGTTAGAAGAAAGACCTAAGTCTTCTTGAAAAGGTCCTGGACCTCAGGAAGGGTCTGTTGGCTTGTGTTCCAAAGACTAGTTTTGCCCCAAAGTGCAGGTCCTTGGCCTAATGCTAGTCTATGATGTTTCCCTAGTTTATGGCCAAATGAGATAATTAAGGACAATGTAAGCTTTCCATAAAGCTTTCTTTTCTGATGTTAAAATTTCATTTTTAAGGAAATAGTGGTGATGATTAGTTGTTCAAAAAGAAACCATCTTCTCTTTTGGCAAAATTTAAAAGGTAAAAACATAGCAACCCTTTGACCTCTTTTTTATTTTTTCCTGGTCAGTGAAATCTAAAGTTCTCTGAACTGCTACTCTAGAGCAAATAAATTTTCTTGAAATTAGGAATTAGAATTTGAGTGGAGTGGCTTCTAGAATTTTTATCAGTGTTAACTTAAATCATTTTATCATATTACCCTAAAATGTATTTATAAATTAGCTCGTTCCTGGCTGGGCATGGGCTCATGCCTGTATTCACAGCACTTTGGGAAGCTAAGGTGGGAGGATTGCTTGAGTTTAGGAGTTTGAGACCAGCCTAGGCAACGTAGGGAGACCTTGTCTCTACTAAAATTTAGAGAAAATTAACTGGGCATGGTGGTACATGCAGGAAGTCCCAGCTACTCAGTGGGCTGAGGTGGGAGGATCACTTGAGCCCAGGTGGTCAAGGCTGCAGTGAGCCCTGATTAGGCCACTGCCTTCCAGCCTGGGTGACAGAGTGAGACCCTACTTCAAAAATAAAAATAAAAGGTAAATTAGCTGGTCTCATTTTTTCCAGTCTCCACATATTATAAGGAGGGATTAAGCTTATTATTGTTATTTTACAGATGAGCATGTTGAGACCTAGAGAAGTAAAGTATCTTATTTTCAGTTCCACAGTGAGTTAGAAGAAGTATTACTAGAATACAATCTCCTGGTGTTCCATGTCAGTATTAATTGCACAGGGATAGCAAATGATGTTTAATTTCTCAGAACAACTTTGTCAGGTAGGAGCACTGTGTGAAGAATCAGAGGGTATTTTTGGCTTAGGAAGAAAGAGCCTGGAGAGGTTATTAGGGTTTGCTGGGTGAGGAAGGGAACATTGGCAGAAAGCCTGCCATGTATTTGTTCTTCCTAGCTACCTTATGTTGCCTCTCTGAACTTAGTTAAGTGTGGAAAAGGCAAATAGGCTAAGAAAGAATCATCAGAGCCTTTCTTTTTCTTTTCTTTTATTTGCTTCTTTGATAGTTCTCTTCTGGCATTTTTAACAAGCCGGAAGAGCCCAAAGATGAATCTCCTTCTTCATGGAGATTGGGACTGAGAAAAACTGGCAGCCACAACATGCTGAGTGAGGTGGCCAATTCCAGGGAACCTCTAAGGGACCGAGGCTCTTCCGTCTACCGCTCCTCTTCAAGCCCTCGGATTTCTGCTCTGCTGGACAACAAAGATAAGGTGCAGTTTGGGTAGGGTAAGGGGGAATTCCAGGCACTTTTTTTCCCAATGAAAATTCAGTCTTAGGAAAAATGAAAATATTTTCTAGTCTTTAATTTGATTTTGGAAATGCAAAGCCTTTAAAAGGAGACAGGCACACTGATAGTTTAATCAATTAGCTATTTGCTTGCTATTATTTGCTTAGCCAAAAAAGAAAAAAAGCTTTAAAAATAGCTTTTCCTTTTGGTTAGTTCATTCTTCCTTGCTCTCTTACCTAAAGCAAAAAATGGATCAGAAACATAAACATTTTAATATGGTGGAGGAGGGTGCAGGAAGGACCCCAGGCAGGTATCCTAGAACCAGAGGGCCAATTCTCGTACCCCAGCAGCATGGCATCCTGTGCTGAACCCTCTGAGCCCCCGCCGCCCCCCCCCCCCGTCCCCTGCTTGAGGACTTCGTGGTGCTGGGAGGGGTCGAGGATTCAGAGGGCGAGGAAGAGGAGGAGGAATATGACCTGAGTGAGCTGTTATTGCTGGAGGATATGGGACAGCCCCCGGTAGAGGAGGCTGAGCCTACCCCTTCTCCTGTCCCAGAAGAGTGGCTAGACATCCTAGGGAACCTGCTGTTGAGGAAGAAGACACTGGTCCCAGGGCCACCGGGTTCCAGCCGCCCAGTCAAGGGCCAGGTGGTGACCGTGCATCTGCATATCGTGAGAGAACAGCACAGTGGTGCAGGAGGAGCCAGAGCTGGTGTTCCCTGAGTGACTGTGAAGTCATCCAGGCCCTGGATTTTAGTGTCTCACTCAGGGACATAGGGGAGAGGGCCATGGTCTCTACTGACTCCAAGTACTGCTATGGCCCCCAGGGCAGGAGCCCATACATATGCAACCCTGTGCCTGGAGGTGACCCTGAAGACAGCCATGGACGGGCCTGACCTGGAGATGCTCACTGGGCAGGAGTGCGTGGCCCTGGCCAGCCAGAAGTGGAAGTGTGGCAACACCCACTATCAGCAGGAAGACTTTTTCTGGCCACCAACTCCTATGACCTCGCCATCAAAGCTGTCATCTCCAGTGCCAAAGTGGACATGACGTTTGAAGAGGAGGAACAGCTTCTGTGGTTGAAGGTGAAGCATCTGACCAACCTGGTGGCCTTGCAGCTGAACCTTGACCAGTACTGCACAGCCCTGCACTCCTGCAGCCTCATGCTGGAACACCATCCAGACAATATCAAGGCTCTCTTTGTAAAATACAGAGGCCTAGCAGGGCAAGGACAGTGAGGCCATCCCCATCCTGAGGGCGGCCCCGAAGCTGGAACCTTCCAACAAGACGATCCACGCAGAGCTCTTGAAGCTGGTGAAGAAGCACGTGGCACAGTGGAGCACGGAGACTGCCCTGTACTGGAAAATGCTGGGCAACCCCAGCCGGCTGCCCACCAAGTGCCCCGGCAAGGGTGCCTGGTCAGTCCCATGGAAGTGGCTGTTTGGGGCGACTGCTGTTGCCTTAGGGGGTGTGGCGCTCTCTGTGGTCATCGCTGCCAGAAATTGACCACCCAGGTGGACATCACCCCCTCTGCACACCATGGACCCTGCCCTGTGCTCCCTAACTCCCCCAGACTCTCTGTCCACTGCTCTCCCTGGTCTGGCCTCCTCCTCCTCTGGGTTGGGGGCAGCAATGATTGGGGGTCATGCAGCCCAACCAGAGGAGGGACTGAGGCCCTCTAGGAGGAAAGCCTAGAGGAAGGGGGCCCTCATTCCTTTAGACCCAGTTTCCTCCCAGCCCTCCTCCCTCTGGGCTAGGTCTCTGCTGGGGCCGGCCTCAGTTTCTCCTCAGTAGGCTTCGGGGCAGCCCCTCCTGCCCCGCCTGCCCCACCTGTCCCTCCTGCCCCACCTGCCCCACCTGCCCCACCTGCCCAGCTCCCCACCTCCCCACCACAGTGAAATAAAGCCTCCCACCCTGCAAAAAAAAAAAAGGCCGGGTGCAATGGCTCATGCCTGTAATCCCAGCACTTTGGGAGACCAAGGTGGGTGAATCACTTGAGGTCAGGAGTTTGAGACCAGCCTGGTCAACATGGTGGAAGTCCATCTCTAGTAAAAATACAAAAATTAGCCAGGCATGGTGGCATGTGCCTGTAACCCCAGCTACTCAGGAGGCTGAGGCACAAGAATCACTTGAACCTGGGGAGGCAGAGGTTGCAGTGAGCCGAGACCAGGTCATTGCACTCCAGCCTGGGTGACAGAGTGAGACCCTGTCTCAAAAAAACTTTTTTTATATGGCCTAAGATGTTATCCTGAAAGAAACGTCTTCTGATGTTTAGAAGCAAAGCTCCCTTACCTGGGCTTTGAATCCAAGTAAAGCTCAGGCAAATTAGTACTTAGAAAAAAATGTTTTAACTTGTCATTCTTTCATTAATATGGAAAATATGGTTAAGCTAACTTTACAAATAGTTTGTGTATTCATTCAAGATAAGTAAATTTTTATTTTCTCCCCTTTTTAGTTCCAGATTTTATAGGACTCTCTTAGTGCTTTTCTCTGGGGTCACATCTTGTAATCACAGTCCTCTTGCTTTATATTTCTGGAGACTACTACTCAAAGAGATGAGGCATATTGGTTGGATTAACTCTGCAGCATACTTACTGTACATAGTCCTAAGGAAGCTGTATTTCAAGGAAAAGATGTACTGGGGACTACATAAATCTTATTTCGTCAGGAATATTAGAGTGGAGCTTTCTGTTTGTGGCTTTTCAAAGACTCTCCTTCTCTCTTGGCATAGCCACTGCTTATTTGTGCTGCTGTTTTCTTTATTTGCTCATCCTGACTTTCCCATGAGAATTATTTCCCTTCATACTGTTTTTTTAATGGAAGAAAGTTAGGAAAAAGCTTTTGAAAGCTAACCTTTTTAAATACCACTAAAAATAGAATTAGTGTTGGATCCAGAAATAAAATTATACAGGCATATTAAGTTCTGCTTTTTTACTCAAAATGTTTTACACTGTGCCAGTATTGTACCTTTCTTGTGCTTTACTTGTTTTTATTTTACAGGAAAGAGAAAACAAAAGCTATATTAGTTCACTAGCACCCCGGAAGCTCAATAGCACAAGTGACATTGAAGAAAAGGAGAACAGGTAATCCTAACATCGGGCAAAAGATGGTTCTCGTCCTCTTAGGTCTGTTCGTTATAGTCATCTCCTGGCCATTACTCTTCCGCTTTTTTCCCTCAGGTGGCCTGACCACATTATGAATTGTTGGTTCCTTCTGCTTAGAACGCCTCTCAACTCTTAGATCCTTGCTATGCCAGTTCTTTATTCTTCAAATTCTAACTCCAGCTTAGACATTGCTGTCTTTACGAAGTCTTCCCCGATTTTTCCATACATAGATTAGTTTTAATCCTCCAGCAGGCTCTGTAAAGGTAGGGTCTGTGTCTGTCTTGTTTCCTAGTTCCTAGCACAGTGCTTAACACATAGTAAACACTAAAATAATGTTATTTAATTAAATTGACCAAATTCTAATTTGTCAGAAGGCAAAATTAAAGTCTTCCTAATTAGTTAAATATAGGGATTTTGAAGTATTGCTGCATCTCAAGGCAAAACATGATCTCAGACCTTAGCCAGCAGCATTGGTATCACCCAGGTACATTTTATTTTTATTTAAAAAAATGCTTTTAATAGTAACAGGGTTTTGCTATGTTTCCCAGGGTGGTCTCAAACTCCAGGCCTCAAGCGGTCCTCCTGACTTGCCCTCTCAAAGTGCTGGGATTGTAGGCATGAACCACAGCTCCTAGCCTGGGTGCTTGTTAGGACTGCAGACTCTCAGGTCCTACTCCAGACCTACAGAATTAGAATCTGCATTTTAACGAAATTTCCTGGGTTATTGAAATATTAATACAATTAATGTTTGAGAAGGATTGTGCTAGAGAACCTTGTGAAGCGTGGAGACCCATAGCTTTTGTAACGAAGACCCTGAGTTACCAATTGTGGATCAGAAATCTTACTGCAGCACTTTCCTGGATACCTTTTCATTTATAATGCTAAAGAGGCTTCCAGCAAGTCTTCCTTCCCTTTCCCCTTCTGTAGTAACCTTTTTTCTTGGTAACAGACTTCTTCATCTTCCCCCATCATTTCCTTCTCTGCTTAACTTAAAAGCCACCTACTACTGGGACAGATTGCAACACACTTTTTTTCCTTTATTTTTTTGAAACAGTCTCACTCTGTCACCCAGGCTGGAGTGCAGTGGCATGATCTGAGCTTGTTGCAGCCTCTGCTTCCTGAGTTCAAGCAATTCTCATGCCTCGGCCTCCCGAGTACAAGCGTGTGCCACCATGCCTGGCTAATTTTTTTTGTATTTTTAGTAGAGATGGGGTTGCACCATGTTGGCCAGGCTGGTCTCAAACTCCTGATCTCAAGTGATCTGCCTGCCTTGGCCTCTCAAAGTGCTGGAATTGTGAACTACCATGGCCAGCCGCAAAGCACTTTTTAAATAAGGATCAAAAGTGACTTCTCATTACAAAAGGGTTAGAGACCTTTGACATGAGGACTTTGTTACCCGTTGAAATTAATTGGTTCAAAGTTGATAAAAGAATGCAGACAGTAATACTTCTGTTCTGTACAGGAAACAGGTATATTAAACAGAATCACCTGAAAAATGTGTTTATTAGCCATGTTATAGTTTGCCTGTATTGCTCTTCTCTCTCTGTATTGTATCATGGACAAAACTGGTGGTAGGAATCAGTGTTTTGTTTTTCTTTCATGCTTCTACAGAGAATCAGCTGTTAATCTAGTGAGGAGTGGCTCCTATACCCGGCAGCTATGGAGGGATGAAGCAAAGGGAAATGAAACCCCACAGACAATTGCTCCCTCCACCTATGTATCAACCTACTTGAAAAGGTACCAGGCTCGAAGGGGGTGGGAGATGTTTCTTTCACTCTAGCCATGGGACTATGGGTAATAATTGCATGCCTTTTTATATCCAATTAACACCATAGAAATGAATCAAAATGAATTACTTTTAGATTTCTTAGAATTAACATCTTGAATAATTAAAAAATAAAATTAATATATTCTCTTAATAATTGAATTAAAATAAGCTAATTTCAGGTTCTTACTACATATCTGGCTTTATATTTCATCCTCTCTGTCTTATTAAAATTTTTAGTCAGAAGGGACTTTCAGTAATCTCTGAGCAAGACTGAATTTAAGTTATCCTTGTCCTGTAACTGGTTCCCCCTTTTCTGAAGTAGAGTAGTTCTCGTCCCATGTGATACTTTTGCGGGGAGGAAGGGAGGGACACTATAGGGTGGTGAGGGGTGGGAAATGGGGACAGTTTTCTATTGCATTAAAGAAGTTTCATACTGAAGCCTGTTAATTTAGGGACTTGAGTTTTTTTTCTTATGACTTTAATGGCCCTCAGATCCATCAAGATGTGAAACTCGCAAGTTTGGTGCAGAGAAGGTACATGGGTTTCCTTCTTTTCTCATCTATATTCCCTTTTCTGCAATTATTTTCTTTGCCACATACTAGCCAGCAAACCAAGCACCTTTGCCAGAGCCATTAAGCTACAAAATATACTTAATTAATATTTTAATTTGAACTTTGCTGCTAATGTGGAAGAATCTGTTTTTTATTGCTTACTTTGAATTCTTTCTTCACTTCCACTTAACCCCTCCCACTGTCTCCTCACACCATAGCCTTAGGTTTTTTAGATGATTGGTTGGCTACCTTAGAAACAGGCCCTGGCCATAGACTAGATGCGCAGATTAACTCTTTGGAATCACACTTATTTCCACTTGACAGGAAGACTTGTCAATGTTGGAACATGGGAAATAGCTATAAAACACACAGCCACTGTTGCCTTTTAATGTTCTTCAGTTCTGTAGATACATTCTGTAAGAAAGGGCTCAACTTTGGAAGTATGAAAGTTTGATGATCTCACTGATGCTTCATCATACAAAAGAGGTGTTTCTTGCTTTATGAGGCTGTCACCTATTTGTCTTAATGGCTAAGGCCTTGGTCTTCCTAGATGCATTATTATTCCTTATGGTTGGATCCAAGATCAAGAAAACTTTTCTAAGAAAATAATGTTCTAGAACAAGGGAAGGGAGAAAGCTGGCATTTAATTTCCAGGCATGGAGTTATTCTGTGGTGAGGTCATTGATTTTTGTGATCCAAATAATCAGCAAATTGGTTGAGAGGCATTTGGTTTGCTAGATGTAGTTTGGCAAAGTTATGGTGAACAGTGAAGGGAAGGGTTGCCTCTCTGTTTAGGATCAAAACCATGCTTAATGATGTGAGTACTTTTCGAGGAAAAGATCTACAACTTGCTTCATACCTTGGATTTCCAAAGCTCTTCTCTTATAACCCTAAAGCACTTTTTAATTTTATAAAAGCCTATCTTGTGATCTTTTTAAAAGGAAAGAATCATATGCCATCAACATTTAGAAGAGCAAGTGTGAGGAGAAATTTGTCATTTCCCAGCTATGCCAAACCTCATACACAGTCCATTTTCTAGTTCATCTCTTGTGTTTAGGCAGAAATTCCTTTCATATGGCCCATATTAAAATACTTCTTTTCAAAGGAAAGCTTAAAGCTTTTTTCAGTTATCCCCTCAAGTGTCTCATTTTTATTATAGTCAAGAAATACTTTTAAAATTTGAACCCAAATAATTTTTTGCTGCAAGTGAGATGGTTCTTACCCATCTTCAATTGAAACAAATAAGTTGCCTTTTATTGCTCATACATTATTACTTTCTAGAATTAAAACTTTAAATCCTCCCAAAGGCAATTTTGCTTTAGGCTGAATAACTGCAGTTCTCAAAGTCATTTTTTTTCACAGAGCTTCTTTACTCTTTTCCACTTTTAAATTTTAAATTTCTACTCCACAACCTCTCCAAATTCTCTGGTCTTACTTTAGCTTTTACAGAGCTAATTATATATCAGGTAGACATTTGGGGTTGCATGATTATTTGCCTTGGGTTTGTTGGGAATTATTTGCTCTAATAAAATTCTCCTATTTCCTGTTATTTCCCTTCTTAGCCTCTCTTCTTATCATAAAATCTACTTTCCTGCTTTCCCTCATTCAGTATCATCTCTCTTCCTCCATGTTCCTTCACTCTTTTGGATGATTGACCAGAAAGACCATCCTTCAAAGAGTGATGATTCCTTCATTCTTTTGATGATTGCCTACTTGCTGCTGCCAGTGACTCAGCTCTAGCTGGAGTTGATCACTTCACTTTCCAGTTGTCATACCCTTTCTTTAGTCTATATTCCTTTTAAGTGCACAATCTGGGTGGGAAGGTGGTGCTGGGAAAGGGTGGGTGAGCAGCATGTCCTGAAGAAAGTGACTGTGTGCTGTTTTGCAGTGCTTCATTTGGTAGAAGTAGTGACCCCACAAGTCCCTACATTTCAGCCAATCGCAATTCATCTCCTGCTACCTCACCCATTACCATTGGTTCATCTACCTCTCGGGGCAGCCAGTGGCAACCTGCCTCTTCTTGCCCTGCACCAATCAGTGCAAACACTACTGCATCTGTACATCATGGCAGGTAAGGCTTCTTGGAGCCATTTGAGTTGCATTCATCAAAGTTAATGCCTCTGAAAACACATGAAATTTGAACCAAAGAGACGTTATCACTATAGAAACAAGTTAGAATTCCTGAGAAAATGTCTGAAATTTAATGAGGATGTTTTTGCTTTGACTTTTATTAGCCAGTCAACAGTTGCATATTGAATAATTAAAGGGTATGTATAATTGTACTTAGTGTTTGGACATCAGCTTAAGATGACTGATTTCATCTCTCAACAACCTTACCAGTTGTGATTACAATTTAAGGGTCATACCATTGTGGTAAATTAAATATTGAAAATATTTTCATATTTTACTTCTATTAATTTTCCAGTAATTGTAATAGGAATCTCTTGTGTTTAGTCTTTTAAATGGCATACAAACCCAAATCAGAAAGAAAGCTAGCTCATTTTTCAAAAGCCTGTGATAGCCTTCTGAAAACTCCCAGGCAACGAGAGCATTTTGCTTGACACACTGTAAGAATGGATTAGCTGGGCATGGTGGCGCGTGCCTGTAATCCCAGCTACTCAGGAGGCTGAGGCAGGAGAATTGCCTGAACCTAGCAGGTGGAGGTTGCGGTGAGCCGAGATTGCGCCATTGCATTCCAGCCTGGGTAACAAGAGCAAAACTGTCTCAAAAAAAAAAAAAAAAAAAAGAGAGAATGGAGAGATTTGTGCTTGTCTAAACTGTGTTCTGGGCGCAGTATCTTCTTGGTTTCTAGTTCATCTAAGGGATACCATGGTAGAGAGTCACTGTGAAAGTATATTAGGACTTTGACTGTCATTTTAACTGTGGCTTTTAATCCTTTATGTGTGGTGGCAAAGGATCTCCTTTTTTGGGATCTGTGTCTACAACTGATAAAGAAAATGAAAAAAATCTTAATGATAGTGTTGTTGCAAGAATGCCAGTGTTGGTGCTGCTTGATTGATATTTGTCAGTTTTCTAGATTTCTTTCCCTAAAATAAGTGATGATCATTAATTCAGCCAGGAGGGCAGAGTTTATGATGGATTATTAATAATACTGTATACTTACCGGTAAATTTATTAGGTCCCATAATAATCCAATTGCATAGACATGTTAATTAGTATCACCATAGATGAAGAAACACAGAGAGATTATTGTTACTATATTATATTACTATTATATTTGACATATATATATTATTATATATGTAATTATATATGTAATTATATATATTACAAGTCTCATAATTATATATATTATAACAAGTCTCATAATTATATATATATATATATTACTATAACTATTAAGAGCTGCAACTGGGCTGGACACGGTGGCTCATGCCTGTAATCCCAGCACTTTGGGAGGCCAAGGTGGGTGGATCACAAGGTCAGGAGTTCAAGACCAGTCTGGCTAATATGGTGAAACCCTGCCTCTATTAAAAATACAAAAAAATTGGCCGGGCACAATGGCAGGTGCCTGTAATCCCAGCTACTCAGGAGGCTGAGGCAGGAGAATCGCTTGAACCCGGGAGGCAGAGGTTGCAGTGAGCCGAGATTGCGTCACTGCACTCCAGCCTGGAAGACAGAGTGAAACTCTGGGGGAAAAAAGATGCAACTGAGAGAAAACAATTCCAGCTGCCATTTGTTGGACCCTATTATGTGACAGGCATTTGGTTAGGTATTATATAAAAATTATATTGGGGTTTAGTTTGCTCACATGTAATGATAAATCTAAATAGTAGTGGCTTAAATAAGTTAAAGGGTTTTTTTTTTTTTTTTTGCACTTAAGAAAATCCAGAAATATGCAGAGCTGGCTCAGTAGCTCCACAGTCATTAAAGGATCCAGGTTCCTTCTGCTCCACAGGTCTTGCATCATGGCTGTCATTTCCATGGGTTGCCCCATGGTCCGGAATAACTCCTGGAGCTCTAGCCATCATGGCTTTACTCTAAGGAAGAAGAAGGAAAGGGGGAAGCAGATAAAAGAATGCTGCTGAACTGAGAAATTTCCCAGTAGTAGTAGTTGCCTGCATATGTCTCATTGGATACCTCTAGTGGCCAGGAGACTGAGAAGTATGGGTTTTATTTGTTTTTGTGTTTTGTGTTTTTTTTTACTTTTAAGACAGAGTTTCACTCTTGTTGCCCAAGCTGGAGTGTAGTGGCGGATCTTGGCTCAGTGCAGCCTCTGCCTCTCAGGTTCAAGTGATTCTTCTGCCTCAGCCACCTGAGTACCTGGGATTACAGGCCCGTGCCACCATCCCAGCTACTTTTTGTATTTTTAGTAGAGACAGGGTTTCTCCATGTCGGTTAGGCTGGTCTCGAACTCCCAACCTCAGGTGACCCGCCCACCTCGGCCTCCCAGAGTGCTGGGATTATAGGTGTGAGCCACCACACCCAGCCAAGAAGTGTGGATTTTTAACTGGGTATATTGCTGCCCTCAATAATATAGGCATTCAGTTCATAAAGAAGATGGACAATGGATATGGGTTAGACAACTAGTTGTCTCACTCATACATATATCATTTATTGTCTTATAATAAGCCCCCTATTATATGAAATATTATTTTATAGATGAGGAAACTCAGACCAAAAGGTTAATCATTTGCCAAAGGTCACACAGCTAGTGAGGAACTGAGGTAGGATTTGAACCTAGATTTGTCCATTTCAAAACTCTTACCTATTTTGTCACTGTTTGTTTCTGCTGAGTTTATCTTTTATTCCAGGCATTATTTCAGGTGTTCTACAGACATTCTTTAATCATTACAAGAACCCTGTATTTTAAGGTGCCATTATCTCTACTTTATCAATGAAGAAGAGATCAGAGAAGGTACATGAGCTTACATGTAGCCCCAAGTATTTCCCAAGCCCATATTTATTCTACTCCATTGTATATCCTCTAATCTCTGCTCTAGGACTGTTCTTATTCTAACAATCTACTTATAAAATTACACAGCATATTAAAGTAATAGTAAAAGTCTTACTATGTAATTTAATAAAATTAAATCCTGGGCATTTCAACAGCATAAGAAATTACAGTGAGACCAAATATGTTATTAACCTAAAAAGAACTTCAGGTAAGGTTGGGTCAAGTGTAATTTTTTATAGCTGTGTGTCTAGCTAACTTATCAGTACTTCCTATAGACTCATATCTGGTAAGTCTGAGGAATTTTTTGCCTTCACTTTTTTTATTTAAAAAATGACTAAAAAAATAAAATGACTATAAAATTTCACCTTTTTTCTTAGTTATTAATTGCTTCTGTAGAAGTAGCTTGTGTTTTTTAGATTCTACCTCTATCTTTTAAAATATTCTGTTTTTATATTTGTATCTAGGTACCATATTTAGGTTTTTATATTTTGATTATTTTTTTTCAAGCTTGTAATGTGATTATTTGGAAGTAAGCTTAGAGCTACCTATGAACATTTCACAGGTAATAATTGTGAGTAGGTGAAAAAAATAGATTTTTAATATTTGTGCTTTTCATTGCTTTCTCCATCTCTATATCAATTTTGGATCTCTGTTACCCCAGCAACAGCTGTGACATCACAAATGATAGCTTTTTGGGTGGAGAGCCAATGGTTGCTCCCAACTCTTTGTTAAGAAATAAAGATCTTGTTTTCATGTAAATGAGTTTAATTATACAGCTTGCTGTTGAAAAGTCTGTAGTTAAGGTTACTTACAGAATCCGATTTGGTTTTTGTTTCAATTTCTCACTTTTGCAATTATGAATTTAGACAATTAGGCATTTGGTTAAATGGAAAGAAAGAACAGTTGCTAAACTAGGTGAGGGAGAACTAAGCATACCCAGGTTTTAGAGTATCAGTTGTCTCTGGATAATTCAAGAAGATGGTCATCAAATCTAGGCTGAGGACTACCACAAAGGCTCCCACTGCCAAGAATTAAGGAACAGGTGGAGACTAATATCGTAAGTGACTTCAGTGTCTTTTTCTTGTGTAGAGAGGCCCTGTCTTCGTGTGCATGTGTGGAGACCAGACGCTACTGGGGAGTCATTTAAAGCACTCTTGCATATGTCACTATCTCGCCTTGTGTCATAGCTAATGATTTTTGTTAAAATAAAATCTCAGGCACACACGTACACATACAAGTCTCATAAAATGTAACTCCTCAGGCAAAGGATGTCAGACTAAATGTGTAATTATGCTATTCCAAGCTGTAAGAGCTCAAAATTTAAAAACCAAAAAACAAAATCAGAGCAAGATTTCCTATCCGAACCTCTCTTTAATCCTGTCTCTGTGCCAGTGCTTTGTTGTATAGCATGACTTACCATTTCCTTTCTGCTTGTATCTTTTTTGATTTCAGGATTCCTCACAAATCCCAGGCTGACTCCACAGCAGAGAAAACAGCAGACAATGTCTCTTCTAGCACCCCGCTTTGTGTGATCACCAATCACCCTCTACCAAGCACTGCCAATGGGGTTACAACTACTCCTGTGCTCTCCATTACTGGAACAGACTCCTCTGTGGAAGCCAGGGAGAAGAGGAGGTATGTTGGGTTACTGATTTCATTTGTGGGGCTCTGCTTTGAGGTAGAAGATAAAGGAATGGGCATAAAGTGTTTTTCCCAATTTCAAATACATTTATGAAAATATATATTTATATTATGTTCTGTCTTTTGCCTCTGAGCAATTGGTTTTTGGTGGAGACCTCAATTGTTTCTGATTATTTACATAGACACTTATGCCGCTATGGATTTAGGCATATCTTTTTTTGTTTGTCTTGTGATAGAAACAGTTGTTAGGCATTATTTCTCCATTTTGTAATGGAGAACCTGTGAAGCACAGAGAAGGGTCTTTTGTTTTGTTATGGATAGTCTATGTTGATTTCTCTGGCAGCAAAGAAAGGTAACAGTATGACACAAGGCTCAAGGAAATAGAAGGATATAAAGTTTTGATTAATTTGAGTGGAATACCAGAAAAGGAAATGAATAGTATGTGATGATATGGTAAAAGAATAGTGACTAGTTATTCTGTAATTTCTTTAGAGAGGAGGTATGAGAGAACATTGTGAATTGACATAAAAGAGATGTAAGGTGGAAGCTATGAAAAACTTTTTGATTGTCAGGGTTAAGAGAAACCTTGGAAAATGTGACCAAGCAACAATGGGCTCTTTTCTCCTACTTGAGGAAGTATTAAAAAATAGAATGTACTCCATTTGGAAGTGTCAAATGTACTTAAAAACTAAGGCTATAGTTATCCCTTGTTAAGATTAGACTAGGTGAGGCCGGGCGCAGTGGCTCAAGCCTGTAATCCCAGCACTTTGGGAGGCCGAGGCAGGTGGATCATGAGGTCAAGAGATCAAGACCATCCTGGTCAACATGGTGAAACCCCATCTCTACTAAAAATATAAAAAATTAGCTGGGCATGGTGGCGTGTGCCTGTAGTCCCAGCTACTCAGGAAGCTGAGGCAGGAGAATTTCCCGAACCCAGGAGGCGGAGGTTGCAGTGAGCCGGGATTACACCATTGCACTCCGGCCTGGGTAAGCGAAACTCCATCTCAAAAAAAAAAAAAAAAAAAAAAGATTAGACCAGGTGAAATCTTACCAAAATTTAGATTTCAGTTTGACTTCATATTATTTTGAATATCCAAAGGAAGGCACTTTAATATTTTGTGTGTATTAAGAGATTGTCTTTTTTCCAATGTATGTTCTTGGCACCTTTGTCAAAAATGAATTCACTGTAGATGTATGGATTTATTTCTGATTTCTTTACTCTGTTCCATTGGTCTATGTGTCTGTTTTTATGTCAGTACTATGTTGCTTTGGTTATAATAGCTTTGTAGTATAATTTGAAGTCAGGTAATGTTATTCTTTTGTTCTTTTTGCTTAGGGCGGCTTCACTATTCTGAGTCTTCTGTGGTTCCATATGAATTTTAGGATTATTTTCTCTATTTCTGTGAAGAATATTGTTGGTATTTTGATAGGGATTGCATTTAATCTGTAGATTGCTTTGGGTAGTATGGACATTTTAACAATATTGATTCTTCCAGTCCATGAACATGGAATGTCCTTTTTTTGTGTGCTGTTTAGTTTCTTATATCAGTGTTTTGTAGTTTTTATTGTAAAGATCTTTTAGTTCTTTGATTAATTCCTAGGTATTTTGTTTTATTTGTAACTATTGTAAATGGGTTTACTTTCTTGATTTCTTTTTCAGGTTGTTCACTGTTGGCAGATAAAAATGCTACTGACTTTTGTGTGTTGATTTTGAATTTTGCAACTTTACTGAATTTTTCAGTTCTAATCGTTTTTTGGTCAAGTCTTTAGGTTTTTCCAAATGTAACATGATATCATCTGCAAACAAGGGTAATTTGACTTCTTCCTTTCCAATTTGGGTGTCACTTATTATTTTCTCTCTCTCTCTTTTTTTTTTTTAGATAGAGATGGGATTTCACTGTGTTGCCCAAGCTGGTCTCAAACTCCTGGGCTCAATCCATTTTCCCACCTCGGCCTTCCAAAATGCTAGGATTACAGGCATGAGCCACTGTGCTCGGCCTATTACTTTATTTTGTCTGATTGCTCTAGGTAGGACTTCCAGCAATATATTGAATAACAGTGGTTGAAAGTGGACATCCTTGTCTTGTTTCATATCTTAGAGGAAAGGCTTTCAGTTTTTCCCCATTCAGTATGATAATAGCTATGGGTTTGTCATATGTGGCATTTAATGTGTGGAAATGTGTTCCTTCTATACCCAGTTTTTTGAGGGTTTTTATCATGAAAGAGTGCTGAATGTTATCAAATGCTATTTCAGCATCAATTGAAATGATCATAAGGTTTTAAATCCTTCATTCTGTCAATATGCTGTATCACATTGATAGATTTGTATATCTTTGAAGCATCCTTGCATCCCTGGGATAAATCCCACTTGGTCATGTTGAATTATCTTTGTAATGTGTTGTTGAACTTGGTTTGCTGATGTTGGCTATAGTTTTCTTTTTTTTGATGTGTCTTTGATTGGTATCAAGGTAATGCTGGCCTTACCGGATGAGATTGGAAGTATTCCTTTCTTTTCTGTTTTTCAGAATAGTTTGAGTAAGATTGGTACTAATTCTTCTTTAAGTGTTTGGTAAAATTCAGCAGTGAAGCCATCAGGTCCCATGTGAGTGTATATGGACATGTAGTAAGTATAAAAGTTATATCATCTATATGATACAATACAAATTAAACTTTTTATGTTTGCTTATTATAAGGACAGCTCTTATGTGTCTATTATAAAGACTTTTTTTATATAAAGACACATTTTGAGAAGGAAGTTAAAGGAGATGTTGAGTTGGAAAATAGTGTCTTTCTTCTTCTTTTCCTTCCTTTCTTCCTTTTTTTTTTTAAATTTCTGTACATAAAAGAGAAGGAAATTAATTTTCTGGGCTAACAGGTTTCAGAGCCAATTACTGTCTTTTAAAAATTGGTCGGCTGGGCGCGGTGGCTCAAGCCTGTAATCCCAGCACTTTGGGAGGCTGAGGTGGGTGGATCACAAGGTCAAGAGATCGAGACCATCCTGGTCAACATAGTGAAACCCCATCTCTACTAAAAATACAAAGAAAATTAGCTGGGCATGGTGACGCGTGCCTGTAATCCCAGCTACTCAGGAGGCTGAGGCAGGAGAATTGCCTGAACCCAGGAGGCGGAGGTTGTGGTGAGCCGAGATCGTGTCATTGCACTCCAGCCTGGGTAACAAGAGCGAAACTCCGTCTCAAATAATAAAAAAAAAAAATTGGTCTCCAGCCAAGGAAATAGTAATAAATCAATCTTGAATGGTAAATGCTTATATACTTAAAAGCTCAAATGTAATTTAGATACTGTTAGTTTCACCTAGAAACTAAATGCAAAAGTAATCTTTTCATTAGCTGACAAAAACTCTCTTTAAAAAAACCTTTCTGAGCTGAGAGAAGTAAAATGAGGTAAATTCCTCATTAAGAGTATGATCCCAGAAAGAGTGGGGAAATCAGGTTATCAAACTGCATTATTAAATACCTAGTTTCATGAACTGTTATTTGGGAAACTTAGTTTTACTGCCTTCTGGAAATGTTGTAACCTACAATCAATAAGATAGTACCTGTTGCAGAGACCAGATATATGAATCAAAGAGTTAAATCAAAATATTAGTGAATTATTAGTTGAATGTGGTACATCAAGTACAGGTCAAGATAGGTGCATTTTAGGAATGGCACAAGATAAATAAGTAGGGAGATGTTAGATATAGAGCTGTTGAACTCATTTACTGAATATGTTCTAGCATTCATTCATCTTCAAAATAATTATTGAATATTTTGAAGTACCTGTTACCAGATGCTATGGAAAGCCCAGGTGATATATTAGTGAACCAGACAAATATGATGTGAGCCCTTGTGAAACAAATATGCTAGTGAAAAAGACAAATGTTAAATGTTTCCACCTTTTCGTTATTATGAATGTTTATGTAATATAAAGAAGTAATATGAGTTGTTATAACAGTGTCTTACTGAAGATCTGCTGACAGACTTTCCTTATTGGCCAGGTATGGTGGCTCACATCTGTAATCCCGGCACTTTGGGAGGCCAAGTTGGGAGGATCGCTTGAGACCAGGAGATCAAGACTAGCCTACACAACATAGCAAAACAAAAAATAAAAGAAATTAACTGGGTGGTGGCACACACTCCCAGCTGCTTAAGAGCCTGAGACCGGAAGAGCTCTTGAGTCTGGGAATGTGAGACTACCATGAACTATGATAACACCTCTGTAGTCCAGCCTCAGACACAGAGCATGACTCTGTCTCTAAAAAAAAAGATTTGTCTTCTCCTGAAGGATAAAAGAAGGCTCTCATGAGGGTGTGATACTGCTCAAACTGAGATCTGCTGGTTAAGTAATAGTTACATGAAGAGAAGTTGGGGATTCCAAACAAAAGTTCTGGCAATTGAAAAGACACTAAGGTGGAAGAGTTCTTGACCTTTTGGAAAAACTGGAAGAAGGCATTGTGACTAAGAATAGAGAAAGAGAGATGTCTAGGATGAAGCTTGAGGAGGAGGTAGGAGCTATATACATACATATATCATATACATATATATGTAGAGAGAGAATTCACATACCATACAATTCACCAATTTAAAGTGTACAATGCAGTGGTTTTTAGTAAATTCACAGATATGTGCAACCATCATCACAGTAGCTTGCAGAACATTTTCATCACCTTACAGAGAAATCCTGCGCCCTGTAGCTATTCAAACCACAGTCTCCTTATTTCCCCTAGGCCTAAGCAACCACTGCTCTACTTTTTATCTATAGACTTACTTATTTTGGACATTTTATATAAATGTTTATATAAACATGTTTATATAAACAGGTGAATAATGCTCCATCGTATAGATATGCCACATTTTGTTTGTTCATTCATAAGTTGATGGACACTTGAGTTGTTTCCACCTTTTAGATATGAATAATGTTACCATTAGCATTTGTGTAGAAGTTTTTGCATGGACATCTGGTTTCATTTCTCTTGGTTATATACCTAAGAACAG